CTTTCACCCACTGGCTCTTTCCCTTGTGGCCACATGTGGGAGGGCTGCCAGACAGCAAACAACCGTAGTAGCCAGAGCTGAGCTGATCCAAAGCCAGGAGCCAGGAGCCTCCTCTGGGTCGCCCACACCAGTGCAGGGTCTCAAGGCTTTGGGCTATCTACTACTGCTTTCCCAGGACAAGGGCTGGGAGCTGGATGGGAAGTTGTGCAGCTGGCACATGAAACAGTGCCTGTACAGAATCCTGGCACATATGCAAGGTGAGGGTATAGCCACTAGGCTATAGCGCCGTACACACACACACACACACACACACACACACACACAGAGAGAGAGAAAGAGAATGAATTATGGACTAAATATCCTTGTCCTCTGAAATTTATGCAGTAAAGCCCTAAGTCCCACTGTGGCTATATTTGGAGACAAGGGCCCTAGAGAATAATTAAAATTAAATAAGGCTATAAGGGTGAGACTCCAATCCAAGATTAATATTACGAGAAGAGACATGAGAGAACAGGCTACACGAGCACAAAATGAGAAGGTGGGTATGTATTCACCAGGAAGAGTCCTCACTGGAAACCAAACTGGACCTTCATCTTGGACACGTTACCTGTGAGGAAATCAATTTGTGGAGGTTGGTGTGCCGACACAGCATGATAATCCCCTGCCTGTGGCATCCAATATGAGCAATGGCTCAAGTCTCAGCTGCTGCACTTCCCATCCAGCTCCTATGCTAATGGACTGGGAAAGCAGCAGAGGCTGGCTCAAGTCCTTGGGCCCCAGCACCATGTGTGACACCTGGAATAGACTCCTGGCTCCTAGCTTCAGACTGGCCCAGCTCTGGTTATTATGGCCTTTTGGGAAGTGAGCCAGCAGATGGAGGATTCTCTCTCTCAGTTTTGCCTTCTCTTTCTGTAACTCAAGTAAAATAAATTTAAAAAGAGAAACTTTTGTGGTTTAAGCTTCCTAATGTATGGTATACTGCTTCCATAAATACATATTCTTTTAATTCTGTTTCTCTAGACACCCTAGCTACTAAAACAGTCCTCCTTGATGATTCTTGGTCATTATCTACTACCTCCACTCCTTTTAAAATATTTTTATTTGAAAGCAGAGTCAGATGGAATCTTCAATCTGCCAGTTAATTTTCCCAAATGCTCACAAAAGCCAGGGCAAGGGGCCCAGCATGGTAGCCTAGTGGCTAAAGTCCTCACCTTGAATGCGCCTGGATCCCGTATGAGCACAGGCTCTAACCCCGGCAGCTCCACTTCCCATCCAGCTCCCTGCTTGTGGCCTGGGAAAGCAGTTAAGGACAGCCCAAAGCCTTGGGACCCTGCACCTGTGTAGGAGACCTGGAAAGAGGTTCCTGGCTCCTGGTTTTAGACTGGCTTAACTCCAGCTGTTGCAGCCACTTGAGGAGTGAACCATCAGATGGAAGATCTTTTTCTCTGTCTCTCCTCTTCTCTGTATATCTGACTTTGTAATAAAAATAAATAAATCTTACAAAAAAAAATCAAGGAACTGGAAACTCAATTCAGGTCTCCTATGTGGATAACAAGAGACCCAAGTGTTTGAGCCATTAGCTGCTGCCTCTCAGGGTGCATACCAGCAGGAAGCTAGAACTGGAAGCTGACCTTGAACCCAGACACTCCTCTATGGGACACCAGCATTTCCAGTGGTATCATTTTTTTTTTAATGATTCCAGATATATTAGCAGGGAGCTAAACTGGAAACAAAGTAACTGGAACTCAAACCAGTGTTCCAATATGGTATGTGAGGATTTCAAGTTGTGGCTTAACCCACCTTGTCATAAGGCCTACTACCAAGCAGCACCTTAACGACCACCCCTTCCCAGCCCATCTTTCCCATCATTACTTCTCTTTTGTAACTTTAACCTCTAATAATCCTCAACAAATATATTCGTTTTTCCTATTAAAACATCCCACAGTCCTACGTCCCACTACCCAGCCTACATGTATGCTGGTGGGTATTGCCATCTTGTCTAGATGGCTGCCCCCAGCCCTGGTTCTCATGCTTACCGGTGGAGGCTGCAGCCCAGCAGTGGAATGGTCACTTTCCCTACCAGGCCCACTCCTAGCCCCAGATCTTGCACTTACCAGTGGGTACTGCAGTTCAGTCTGATATGAACTGCACCCAGTCCCAACACTTGCCAGCAGATACTGTAGCAAAGACTGGCCAGCTCACACTTATTCTGGCTCTTGCATACACCAGGGGATGCGCTGGACTATCCCACCCTCAAATACAGCTTACACGCAGGCCATGTAGCCCTGCCCGAGTCTGTCTAGCCCGCCCCCCACCCCAGTCCCAGCTCTCATCCTCAGCAGCAGGAGCACTAGCCCAGCTTGGGAGCCCTTGCAGCTCACCTATCAGGTTTGCCCCTGCTGGCCTGGGGTCTCGTGTGTACCAGTGGGTGCTGTGGCTCAGTCTGATATGCCCCACCTCACCTCAGTATTTGCTGGCAGCCACCACAGCATGCCTTGACTGTAGCACCTCCCCCCAGTTCTAGCTCATACTGGTGGGCGCTGTAGCCTATCCCAGCATCCCAGCCCCCAGCTCTCAGCCTTGGCCCTAATGAGAACTAGCAGGTGTGGCAGCCCAGCCCAGCCCAGCCCGGCCTGGCCTGAATCCTGGCCTGGCTCTCACATCTCCCAGCAGGTGCTGCAGACTGGCCCAGATTTAGGTTTAAATCTTTAAGCCACAGAAACACAACTCAAAATTATCTCAGTGGAAATAAAAATAATTTATTTGTTCATAGAACCAAAGAGCACAGAAATAGCTGTTTCACTCACGCACAACAGAATCCAGAACCCCAATGCTGACAAGAAGTAGTCTTATTATCTGCCTTCTTTGCCTTGACTTCTTTCTCAGAAAGACTCCTCTTGATGGTGTGATGTCAACCAGAAGCTTCAAGCTTATATACCTGCTTGTCAGCACCAGCATAAAGACCTTTTTCCCCAAAGGTTCTAACAGTCCTGGAACTGAGTCTCATGGAGCAGCTGGGATATGAACTGGTGCCCATATGGTATGCTAGCACTTGCAGGTGGAAGATCAACTTGTCAAGCTATGATGCTGGCTCCTTTCTCCAATTTTTAAAAAAGATTTATTTATTGTTTGGTTTAAAAGACAGACAAAAAGAAACAGGAAGAGCCATAGTGAGAGTAAGGGCAACAGGAGGAGACTTTCTAAATGGCCACAAAAACCAAGACTGGGCCAGGCTGGGACCAGGGGCTAGGACTCCATCATGGTCACGTGGGTGGTAGGGATCCAGCAATGGCGCAGCCTGGACCAGTACTGAGATGGGATTCCAGTGGTATAAGTGGTGGCTTACCTCACTATGCCACAACAGCAGCCTTAGATTTCTCCACTTTCAGATTTATTTTTCTACATTTGAAAGGCAGAGTGTCAAAGTGGAGGGAGAGATCTTCCACCTGCTAGCTTAACTCTGAAACAGCGACAACATCCAGGGCTATGCCAGAATTAAGCCCAGAGCCCACGGGTTCATCCCAGTATTCCATAAGGGTTAGGTGGCAGTCCTCTGCTTGTTCCTCAAGCGACCAGCAGGGAGCTAGATTTCAAGTGAAGCAGCCAGGCCTGCTGTATAATCAGCAGCTTTACCCACTAAGCCAAAACACCAGTCCTTGATTTTCCAGAGCGAGCTATCACCCCATCAGCTGGTTCCTTCCCCAAATACCCAGAGTGACCAGGCCTTGGCTGAGTCTACGCTGGGAGATAGGATTCATTCCAGGCACCTGGCAGGAGCCCCAGGACCTGAACAATCACCAATGTCTACCAAGGACTCCGTGAGCAGGCCTGTGCATTTTAAACGCTGGGGACAGGGCCTGCCTCCCATTCTAAAAGTTTAACTTTCCTAAATGTTTCTCTTCAAAACTTTCCTGCACTCTATATCTAAAAGTGACTTAAAAGTAAACATTAGTTTTGGGTCAATAATTGCCTCTTTGTGTCACCAAGGAACACAGGTATTTTAAAAATCTGGTCCCTGGTTGACTTACCTGGGAGGCATCTCTGACCTCCAGCTGGTTTTCCGGTTTGTTCCCATTTTAGGCTTTTCCTTGTTAAGATGGTGAAAGATGGTGGTGGGGAAGGAAAAAGATTTTTCTGTTGGTCACTAGCAGTTAAGTGACACTCCTCAACATGGACATAATTCCCCCCCCAAACATTATTTCTACCGAGCTGATGTTCGTCACATTGATTCACTCATCCCTGATTTAAAAGAAATACTAAAAGAACTTTCTGAGTTCTCGCTGTCCTCCGTGGAGAAAGCGACCTGCAAGAGGGTGGCAAAGCACCACCAGAAACGTCCCCCGGGAGCCACAGGCTCCTTGTGGGACTGACTCCTCTGTCCAACACGAGGGCCACGGTGTCCCTAAGGGGCAGGCCACTCCTAAAGGATTTTCCAGAAAACTCGTGTCTTGCTCTGAAACACTGCACAAGTGCTTTGCCAAAGGTTTATTCATCTTTTCGTAACTACTTAGAGTGGCAATCAACTGACCAATTGCGTTTAAGTCAGTCGGCCGTAAATAACCCAAGTATGAATGGGTTAAGTATTTAAAAAACATTTTTTTAAAAAATGAAGTCAGCATCTATCCTAAAAAGGATTCCGCTTTCCAACAATCTCAGGAAGGAAGCAGCCCAGGACGCCGAGGAGTCCCGTGTCTCGTGCGACCGGCCCCGTCGAGGCCGCCCTAACGCCACCTCACCTTCCGTAGGCAGCACTCGGTTCCCCTCCGAGGCGACTGTCCCCAAGCCGCCGTCCAGTGCCCCAAGGCCCGGGCCGCCCCCAGCAAGCCGCCACTTCCGCCTCCCTGCCCCGAGTCACGAGTTGGTCTTCGTCGGCCCGCCCCTCCCAGCTGCCGATTGGGTAGCTCCCCAGCCACGTCTGCCCTCGGATTGGCTGTGAGCCTTTCGCTGTCGAGGCCCCGCCCTTCCCCGGATATAGGGGCAGGGCTTCCGCTCCCCCCCTCCTCCCGCCTCCCGCCGGGTTCTTCGCTCGCAGTCGCCACTCCAGCGGCAGCTGCCGGACGCGCTGTGTCGGGCGTCGGTTGGCTTCTGTCTTCAGCGTCGCTGTGGGTGCCGTGGAATTGCCGCCATGGCTGAGCTCGATCCGTTCGGCGCCCCGGCCGGGGCTCCTGGCGGCCCAGCGCTGGGGAACGGGCTGGCGGGCGAAGAAGACCCGGCCGCGGCCTTCTTGGCGCAGCAGGAGAGCGAGATTGCGGGCATCGAGAACGACGAGGCCTTCGCCATCCTGGACGGCGGCGCCCCGGGGCCCCAGGCACACGGCGAGCCGCCGGGGGGTCCGGGTGAGCGGGCGGGCGCGTCTGGGCGGGAAACCGGGCCCCGAGTGGGTCCCCAGCTGCTCGCCGCTGAACTCGGGGTGTTGTCAGGAGATTGGGGTTTGGGGGGGCGTGGGAAGGAGTGCAAAGAGGAAACGAGACCCGAACCCAGTCATGCTTGGCTGGGGAGACCCGCCCCGTTCCGAGTGTGTGTGTGTGTGTGTGTGTGTGTGTGTGTGTGTGTGCATGCGCCGGGGGCGGGCGGAGCGAGGACGCCCGGAAAATCGGCGGTGGGAGGCGGGGATCGCAGCCCGTTCAGTTCAGCAACTTTGCACGGAGCCTTCTGCCTGCCGCCGCCGTCGTGGCGGGCGTTTCTCCGGACGTGTCAAGCAAGGCTGAGCACAGCATAGGAGGAGGGCAGGAAAAACTAAGAATAGTAGCAACTTTTTTTTGGTGGGGGGGAGGAGTGACACAAACAAAAATGGCAGTGTACCGTTGAGCATCAAGACCCAAAGTGTTGGGGTGACAGGGAGAAGAAAGGGGGTGGAGGGTATCAGCAAGGAACCGAAGAAGGCCGTGAGGAGGGAAACTGAGGCTGGGGCTTCTGGCAGCAAGGTTAGCCTGGACCGGGCAGGGAAGGGAGTCAGGCGAGTGGGTCTCTGCAGGGCGGTCCTTCCCCTCAGCTCAAGCAAGAAGAGACTGGAGGAGGGCAGGGTGAGCTGGAGTTAGGTGAAGGTTTAACCTTTGAATACGTTAACCTGTGCGGTCGCTAGGATGGCGGTTGTAAGACAGGAGGAGTTGGGGAAACTAGTCCGTAATATGGGGAAGTAGGAAGTTAGAAGAGGTGACATCTGGCTTCACTGTTACTTAAAGAAATATTCCAAGTGAAGGAGAGGAGAGCCCTGTTTGCAGAGGGGAGTGTTTCTAGAACCCTAAACTGAAAGCTCAGTGGGTCAAGCAGGCCCCTAACCCTAAGGCAGTTGGTGGGCCCAAGGCCTGGATGACTAGGTAACATTTATCTGCCACTGTGATGGTTTTAACTTTTTAGACCTTTAGTTCACCAGAAATCTAACTCCTAGTGAGAAATGACTTGCTTAAGGGGGGGAGGGGACAGCAGTGCAGCCCCTAGTTGCCCTCGCTGGACCACCTTCTGTTGCAGAGGTGTTGGCTGGGAGGGGCAGGGCGACTGTGGCTGTCCAGGGAGAACTGACCTACTCCAGCACAGACACTGGCGGGCTGCTGCTGGCCCTGGGAGTCCCGTGTAAACTGGCCAGGTCTTGGGGAGGGAGGGTATAAAGGATACAGTTGCAAGCCCATGTGTCTGTGCTTCAAGCCTTCAGTAAAGGGAAGGAAAGGGTTGAGTGCTGACTTAGTTCCTGAACTTTAGTAGTGAGCTAAGCATTTAGTGACTGAAAGCCCTGACCATGTAGTTGAGATTGGGCATAGTGCAGTGGTCAGCATTTCCTTTGGGAATTAGCGCATGAGCTGGGCACTTCGTTCTCTGAGACACTGTAGTGGTTATGATTTTTGTGCTATCCCATGCTGCTTGAGTGTTGAGTTTAGCTTTGCTGTCTCGGGCAGTTTATGTAATTAACCACTGTAATTTTCTCTCCTGTAAAGTGGGATGATGTGTACCACATTGCGTTTATGGGATTACAATAAAGAATACCTGTGAAGTGCTTGCTGGCGTATAGAAGCATCCAGTGCATTTCAGTTACTGGTATTCCCTGGGGATAAGAGAAGAAAGTAGTTTGAAGCCTTTCGGAGGGTGTGCGATTTTAGATGGGAGGTCTCTGATGTGTTGAATGAAGAGATGTAGAAAATAAGCTGTAACAGGTTGAGGAGAGAGGAAAGCAGTTAAATTCACCTAGCCCTGGGGGATACTCTCATGAGGTGGGCACGGGCTAAAGCTGTTAGAGTTAGGGCAGAGTCGGGCTCCCTCTGATGATTAGGGGTTCAGAGAAAGGACTGTAGAGACAGGAGGTGCCCAGCTCGGTGAAGTGGCATGGGCGATGTTGAGGAAGAGGATGTGGCCAAGGAGGAGGCAGCCCTAGCCCAGCTGAGGTGGGAGAATGGGGCAGGTGTCGGTGGTCGGGCGGCTGTAGGGAAAGCATGGCAGTGAGGTACTGTTACACATCTGACATGCACTTAGGGAGGGGAAAAGAAGCAAAGTACATGAATTAACCTTTCTAGAGGAGGGTGAATGTGTTGGTAACAGTGGTCGAGTTGTTTAGAGAGCTCTTACAGATGACATTTAGCTATACTGCACATTTGCTGTGTGCCTGGTACTCTATGCACTTGACAATGCCTGTAATAACCATGCAGGCTGAGTGGCAGTGTCAACGTGTTTCAGGTGAGAACTGATCACTGTGGAAATACATCATATGCTTAGGTGGCAAGCTAATAAGCGATTTGGTTGAGATTCAGACCCCGGTTGGCATGACTTCACATGTCTGGAGCACATGAGGAGTTGAAGGTGGATTTAGGGCAGTCTTGTACTCTTATTTCTGTCCAGAATCCCTGAGATGCGCGGGGATGTTTCCTTCTGGAGCAGTTGGCGGCCTGGCTTACTTGTCCCAGTAAGACAAGGTCCTAGATGTCCTTCTGCATGTTCCTGTAGCAGTGGACTGTCTTTTGCCTTAGACTGGTTGTTGACTCACACAACAGTGTCGGTGCACAAGGCAGGCCTTTGATTCCACAGTCAAAACGCTCCTTGGAATCTCTGCATCCTGTATCGGAGTCCCTGCTGCACTTGCAGTCCAGCTTCCCACTGATGTGTTCCCCGGGAGGCAGCAGGTGATGGCTTAAGGATACAGATACCAGTCGCCCATATGGGAGACTCACTTTGAGTTCAGGGATCCTGACGTGGGCCTGGCCTTAACCCTTGATGTTAGTGCTCATTCCAGGAGTGAACTCCCAGTAGATGGAAAGTCTTTGTGTCTGTCTCTGCCTTTCAAATGAAAAGTGAAGCTGAAAAGCTAAATAAAGTAACTTGGCTGTTGCCAGAATTAAACAAACAAACAAAAACTGTGGTGGCGTGGTGACTAATAAAAAATCCAGATACATGCCGATGGGTCTGGTTGAGTCTTCAGACTTAAAGGAAGGGCGGCACATGATTTAGGAGGAGGAATGGGTTGCGGGTAACTTAGTGTTTTCAGTAAGGAGGAGTGAGTGATCAAAAGTCTCTTCTGGTGAAAATGGCCCTGGCTGGAATACATTAACTAGATCATTAGTGTGTTGTAATATATTAACAATAACTTAGGTCTGGCTAAACTAGCTAGTAAAGTAAGTTCTAGGATTTAAAAAGCTCTCTCTTTTTTTTTTTTTAAGATTTATTTTTTTTTTATTGGGAAGCTAGATGTACAGCAAGAAGGAGAGACAGAAAGATCATCTGCTGGTTCACTCCCCAAGTGGCTGCAACAGCCAGAGCTGAGCCAGTCTGAAGCCAGGAGCTTCTTCCAAGACTGCTATGCGGATGCACAATCCCAAGGCTTTCGGCCGTCCTTGACTGCTTTCCCAGCCCCCAGCAGGGAGCTGGAAGGAAGTGGAGCAGCCGGGATACAAACCAATACTCATTTGGGATCCCAGTGCATGCAAGGCAAGGACTTTAGCCACCAAACTACCACGCCAAACCCCACTCTTTTCATTTTAAACAAAAATTAACTCTCGGCATTAAAAGAAAGGTAGCAGAACAGCAGCAGCAAGAAAGAAGTATTTAAAAATCTATTTGTTTTATTTACTTGCAAGTAGAGTGACAGAAGAAGAGAGAGAAAGATCTTTCATCGATTAGTTTACTTCCTAATGGTCGTAACTACTGGGTCTGGAGGAGGCTGAAGCCAGGAACCTGGATCTGCATTAGGGTCTCCCGTGTGGGTGGTTGGGGGTCCAAGCATTTGAGTCATGCTGTGCTGTTTGCTGAAGCACAGTAGCAGGGAGCTGCGTCCAAAGTAGAGCAGCCAGAACTTCAGCCAACACGTGTGGGGTGTTGGCATCGTAGGTGATGTAGGGCTTAACCCTTTGAGCCACAGTGCTAGCCCTGTTGTGTTTATTTTTCTCATAGAAGGAAAGGCCTTCAAGCATGAAAGCAGTTGCAGAAATGATCAAGAGAAAATCGATGGTATCTACATATAAGCTAATTAACTCCTGGTGTCAGATACCCTAAGCCAAGTTAAGACAAAATAGGGGGAAATTCTTGTATTATGAGGAGATCGTTAGTTAGTACAGAGAGAGCACTTTGAAACCAGAAGGTGGTAGAGAGACAACTCAGTGAAGAAGAAAATATCAGAAATATGCTTACCACAGGAGATGTGATTGATGCAGCTGAGTCACCAGGAGGTTTTCCCTCCCTCTGCCTCACTGCTGAGGTCACAGACGTTAGAAATGGGGTGCAGCACAGGTTGGTGTGGATAAAGGTCCAAGGAAAGGGTAGCACTCATGCTACTGGATGTTGTACGAATGTTGGTTTATACAAATAAGGGCGAGTGGCTGGTGCTTTAGAAGTCTTGATGCCAGCAGTTCTGCATCAAGGAGCTTATTAAGAGGGACAGTTATGTTGCCCTACAGGCACTTCTCTCTCAGTTGTTTGGTAAATTCTGTAATCCTAAATTTTGACAGAATGTTCAACAAACTATCTGGGTAGGTACAACATAAATAGCTTAAAATAGTAAAAGGCAACTGACTACTACAAGAAACACTTTTTGTGTTACTAGAAAGTATATCAGTAAAATGCAAAAATACATGTATGAGAAATGCTTGGAAATAATAAGCGTACAAGCCAATATTTGAAACAAAGCTGGTGGGTTGCTGAGTGCTTAGAGCCCACGGGCTGTATTCATGCAGCCTGTTAGTAGGTGGTCTGTCCTCTGACATCTCTGGCATAGCATCCCTTCTACAGGTATCTCAGATATGTAGGTAATATTACCTTAAACAAAATAAGCGGCTTAGAAGAGAATATAGCTGCCCCTTCAAGAATATCTCTCTTGGGGAACCCCATGCATGTCCTGAGGTCCTTTGTGAATTGCTGACACATACAGCATAAGAGGATTGAAATGTAATGCATATAATGTGTTGAACACTCAGCACAACGGAAGCCATGCTTAGTGGTGTTTTACACTAAAAATTTGAAAACTTAATGCTGTAGATGAACATTTAAAAAAACATGCTGCAGGGCCAGGCACTGTAGCCTAGTGACTGAAGTCCTCACCTTGCATGTTCCAGGATCCCATATGGGTGCTAGTTCTAATCCTGATTGTCCCACTTCCCATCTAGCTCCCTGCTTGTGGCCTGGGGACCCTGCACCTGCGTGGGAGATCCAGAGGAAGTTCCTGGGTTGTAACTTCTGGCTTCAGCTTTGCAGCCACTTGGGGAGTGAATCAACAGATGGAAGGTCTTCCCCTCTGTCTCTCCTCCTCTCTGTATATCTGCCTTTCCAATAGAAATAAATAAATCTTAAAAAAAAAACCAAAAATATGCTACAGGAGTCTTGAGTTTGCTAGTTTTGTGCATATATGTTTGATGAAAAGAACCAACAAGCCAAATGATGGAATTTCATGACATTTTATTCTTTTAAGAAAATAGTATGTGTTTTAGTATCATGGAACACATGGTAGCCAGGGTTGAGGAAGGAGCCAAGGATGATGGGCGTGAGTTTTAAATACTCCTAAAGCCAAGGAATAAGAAATTGGGAAAAGCAAGAAGAGGACCAAAGGAATGTATAAAATATGAGTATTAGGGTTGATTTGGAAATATTCGGTTCAGGTTGGGTCTAATTAGTTAGGAATCAAGAAAGCCAGATGATGGGTTTGATGAAATCTTTGCCTGTGAGAAGGAAATACAGGGATGGGCTTTGGATGTTGGGACCAACATCCCATAAAAAAGTACTGGGGTTTAAGTCCTGGTTCCTGCTTCTGTGTACCTTGAGAAATACTCAGTGGCACTGGCTTGAGTAATTGGATCCTTGCCACCTATGTGAAAGACCTGGGTTGAGTTACTGACCTGCAATAGTGGATTGGCCCAGCTCTGGCTCTTGCGGGTCTTTGGTAAATCCATGCTTAGGTGCTAAACCTATTCCCACCATAGGATAGAGTCCTGACTCCCTAGCAAACATCTTAATTTCAAATAAAGCACAGAATGGTTCCAGGCCACACTTTTTCCAGAGCCTCACAACTGTCAGAGAAATGCTGTTGCTGTGGGAGATGCTTTGGTCAGCCTCCCTTTGTCGTCTCTCAAAGCCAGAAAGCAGAATTCAGTTTTGGACTTGGAACTTGACAACAGGTCTGTCCATGTTTTGGTGAAATCACTTTTCATTGTGTATAAGCGCATCTGGATTTCATTAAATTAGGAAGTTGTTTGGTACCTAGTGTCTAGACTGCTTAGCAGCTTACAGTTTCTGTAGCAACAGGACTATATCCCACCATATAACTCTGGCCCAGCAGTCCATTGTAACTGACGGCTGAACTCTTTGTCTTACAGAGCCTGTTGATGGAGTGATGAATGGCGAATACTACCAGGTACAGTGTACTCTAATCTCATTGAATGATGTTCAAGGGGCTTCCATTTCTGGGATTTGGTTCGACCTGAACAAGACCCCAGCCCCTTGCCTATCCTGGCTGTGTTAGTAGCTGGCAGGCTGCCTGTCAGGGGAATGCAGAGAGCAGAGCTCCTTTCAGTGTTCCTCTTCTGGCCCAGGTGTGAAGCACCATGATATGTTATTTTATGTTTCAAGACCTCAAGTCTTTAAGCAAAAGAATAGAATAATAGGCCTTATGTTGAAGAAGACAATTGGGGAGTTGAGTGGACACACTAACTTAGTGTGGTGATTCAGTGGAAAAGAATGACAACACTAACCAATGGAAGGGAGAAGGGAGGAATGCATAGCATCCAGAAACATCTGTAGATAAGAAAAGAGCGCGTCAGGCCCTGGGGAGCCTGTGTTAACACTCAGGTCTTAACCAGTGTGGAGTCGCCCTCCCTCTGCCTCCTAGACTCATTGTTGCCTGCCTTTTTTCTTCTCCCCCTGGTATGACCATGGTAGTTACACTATAAGTTCTTTCCTAGAATTCGCTGTGTTCAGCTTAGGTGACGTAGAGAAGCCTTTTTCCTACTTGGTATGATAGTGTTTAGAAGTCTTGGGTTCTCACCCTTACTTTGCTTTGTTTTTGAAGATACCGCATAATCCGTCTGTTAGTGAGGAAGCTAATGGAATACTATTTTCTGATGAGCCCATTATCTGCCCGACCCCAGCGTTCCTGGGTCCCAGGTGACACCACTTACAGGTGTGACAACTGTTACTCCACTTCCCTCATGGGGTTGTCAGGGTGCAGTGCAGTCATGTTGAGACCTCCTGCTGGCTCTCTTGTTTCTTTACTGTGTTATCAGTCATCAGTGCTGGGTATAAGCAGGAGTTCTAAGTTCTGTGAAATGTGTTTTCAGAGTGTTCTGTACTGATAGAGCACAATTTTGTTTTGTGTTAAGGAGAGTAACGGTCCTACAGACGGTTATGCAGCTATTTCACAAGTGGATCGACTGCAGTCAGAGCCTGAGAGTATCCGCAAATGGAGAGAAGAGCAGACAGAGCGCCTGGAGGCCCTGGGTAAGGAATTGGGAGGGGAGGAGCCTATCCATGTGGGGCCCTGGGTAACGGACGGGGCTGGAAACCTGTCCTCAAGGAGCTGCCCTAGACTCTGCTGCTGTTGCCCTTTTTGACTTGGGTTAGCTGTCATGTCCTTGTCTGGTCTTGGAAAGCTAACTTTTGAAACCTAAAGATCACAAGCCACCTCCGTGGAGAAGCCACCTCCGTGGAGAAGCTTAGTCCTAAGCTATTGCCTGAGAAGGATTGTCTGCAGATGAACTCTGTCCTCTCACAGGAAGAGCAGAGTGGGCCTGGTGCGGGGAAGGGCTCTGCACCTGCAATGAGGGACTGGCTCCGAGATGCCAGCCTTAGCAGCTGCTCACGCCTTCAGAATTCATGGGCGACCTGTGAAAGAAGAGCAGTGCTACTCTAGGGCCTGCAGAAGTGGTGCTTAAGAGAGCGATCTATAAGCTTGAAGGGGTTGTAGCCACACAGAGACTTACTAACATTTAATGCCGATAAGGAAAGTGTGAGATACGTTGGAAACATGTACAATTGTTCTTCTTATCCTGCTATCCTTGTAAAAGGAACTTTTTACACCTTTATGAATTAGGGGAGTAGGGAAAAATTGGTAAATAATTGAGTCACTTAGGGGCAAAGTGGTAAATTCAGAATTTTGTCTTCCTTACTTCAGAGTCCACACGCATTCCCTTCATTCCCTTGGCTTTCTGAACACATTAAGTGCACACAGCCAGCCAGTCAGCCTGGCCTCTGATAAAGAGGAGGTATACATAAGGCGGCACTTGTTGCTGCAGGATCTGGAGACAGTTGAGGTCTGCATGGGGGGTTGGAGAGATAAGGCCAAGTGGGAGAATGTAGTCCACAGCATCTTTCAGAGCAGAATCCACGTGTACTCATTCTCTTCTTCCACCTATTCTAGCCAAAAATTAACATTTTAACATTCCAAGTTACTTTTATACACAAGTGGTGCATATGTCTGTGTATCTCTTATGCTTATAGTCACAGATGACTTTTTGTGACTTGTCTGCTTTATGGTACAGACATCACATAGTTCATGTTAAAAAGCCTCATCAAATGGTTCCTAGGAACAGTGACTGTAACACTGCCAGCAGTGTTATTGCCTCTGGAGACTTGTGGAATTTGGAAACGTGGCTCCTTATGCTTCAGATGGAGTAACTAACAGACACCCAGATAAGAAAGGACTTGATCAAGATAACAATCTGTTACTATGAAATTATTTCTCTTTCTAGTCCAGTGTATGTGGCTTTCAGAATAAATGTTCTTCATTGTGCTATTCTGTGCTCTTTGATGGTGGAAATATCCTGTGTCTGCACTGGCTGGGATGATGGCCACTAACCTCACATGGCTGTCAGATGCCTGTAGAATGTGGTACAGCAAATGAAGCTCCTGCCTGGGTCATGCACGTCCCCGGTTGGAGTGCCAGTTCTAGTCCGAGCGCCTCTGTTTCTGAGCCAGCTTCCTGCTGATGCCTCCTGGGAAGTGGCAATGAAGTCAAATAATTGGGTTCCTTTCGCCCATGAAAGAGGCCACAGAGTCCTTCCCTCCTGGCTTTGACCTGGCACGGCCCTGGCTCTTCTAAGCTTTTGGGAGAAGCCAGCAGGTAAAGATGTGTCTTTGTCTGTGTCTCTCTGCCTTTCAGACAGATTAAAATAAACAAAGTGGCAGGTGTGACCAAGAGACTGGATTTTAAATTTGTTAATTTTTAAAAAAAGATTTATTTATTGGAAAGTCAGATACACAGAGAGGAGGAAAGACAGAGAGAAAGATCTTCCTTCTGATGATTCACTCCCCAAGTGACTGCAACGGCCGGTGCTATGCCGATCCAAAGCCAGGATCCAGGAACTTCTTCCAGGCATCCCACACAGGTGCAGGGTCCCAAGGCTTTGGGCTGTCCTCGACTGCTTTCCCAGGCCACAAGCAGGGAGCTGGATGGGAAGTGGAGCTGCTGGGATTAGAACCGGCACCCATATGGGATCCTGGCACGTTCAAGGCTAGGACTTTAGCCGCTAGGCCACGCCGCCAGGCCCAAATTTGTTAATTTTTATAAATGTAGATTTAAGTAGCTATATGTGACTGGTAACTTATTGTGTTTGTGGCAGGAACCCAAGTACTTGAGCCATTGACTAAAACTGTTTAAATTTGTGAGGTTTATTTGTTTGTTTTTGGGCAGTACAGTCTTCAGAAGATCTGTTATGGTGCTAGCAGCTTTGTTCTTGCGTGGTCTTTATGGATCTCTGTGCAGGCTCGGGGCCAGGACTTTGCAGGTGTGGAGACTGCGCGCTAGTGTGCATGTTCTCCAGAGTCCACTTCAGTGTCTAAAAGCATTTCCATTCTCAGTTATCAGTTGGATACTTTGGGGATATTCCATAAAGGTGCTGTTTTAATTCACATTGAAAATTCAGACATTTGCTTCACAACTCCAGTTGAATTGAATCAACTGGACCATAAAGAAAGGGGGGGACTCTTCAGTTTCACCTTTTTTCTCTGCAGGAGCTGTGGGAAAGCACAGCACACTAAAAATAGACGCCCAGGGTCACTGGTTTTCATCTCAGCGCTTGGCTGCGTCTCAGGCCAGTTTCTTTTCTGCAGACAATAATAAAGATTTACAGAGAAGCAGGTGCCTGTCACTGTGTCGCGCTCTCTAAGGACTCTCTCCCAGACACAAAGAGCTTGCATTCAGCCGTGGGTATTTGGCCCGTCAGGCTGAGCACTGAAGGATCTGAATTCTCATGGCCAGTGTTACTTCCTGGTTCTCTGCAAGCCAAGAGAGATTTGAATGTACCATTTTCTACAGCAGCTACAGATGGTCCATTCTTATCTAGATTAGATTTGTTTTAAATGAGCATTTTTGTAATATTTTGGTACTGAGATAAAATTTTGAAATGAGCGTTAGATTTGAAAGTACTATCTATCTAATCACAAAATATTTTTCTTTGGAAATAATTTCGTCATTAGTAAGATATCATCTTGTGTTTCAAATTTAGTATTCTTCAATTCCTTCTCCACATGACCCTGGCAACATAAATAGTGTTTCATTGTAGCTTGACATGCTCCATTTCTCACACTCACACATACACACACACACACACACACACACACACACACACACTCCTTCACACACTCTCACAGACTGCTGGAGACAGATGCATATCAGAAATTTACTGTATTTGCTTTAGAGTCTTCAGTGGGAGATAGGTAGAGTCATCCACCATGTGAATGATAGGTCATTTTGAAGTAGAGAACAAAGCTCTTTATAATCTGGAGGCTCTGGGGGAGTTGGTAGCTGTTATTGGGCCCTTTCCCATAGTTGCAGACACAGCCCTCGGCAGGTTGTTCCCACAGTGCTTACAGAGGCCCTGAAAGTGCCAGGAGAGTGCTTCCTGTCTTCCTCTGAGTGGCTGCTTAGCAACCACCACTGCTTCCTCTGCTTCTCAGACACTGATTACAGGTTGTGCTCTTGCTCTGCCCTCCCAGCCCAGCTCTTCACCCATATCACAGCTTGTGGTTATTCCTAGGCTTGCTTCTCCTTCTGTCCCTCCCGCTGGTAGCGGCATAATGGTGTTATCATCAGACCTGAATTTAACTTTTGGCTCTTTTTACTCTAACCTTTAGGAGGCTAACTCAGACTTTCTAAGCTTTGGTTTTTCTCACTGCTGACAATGGAATTAGGGATTTAGTTTCTTGGGATAATTGTAAAGAATGAATGAGACGTCTGTGGAACACCTCCTAGAAAGGGTGCCTGAGACAGGTTTGCAGGGAGGTGTCAGGACAACGTCAGGGAACTGTGCCAGCAGCTTGGACATGTGTTTCTGTATCTCCCACTCCTTAGTCTCTTCTGCATGTCTTGGGGCAAGCCATGTTTCATCGTTGGAAAGCTTGATATCTGCAGTACAGCCCAGCACACCTTCTAGGTGCACATTTCCCACGTCATTTCTGGACCCTTTAGTTTGGCTTTTGGTGGTGATCCTCCATCCCCACCCATTGCAGGTCTCTCCATTGGAGTTCCTTGGGTAACTCATTCCTGGCTCTACCATGACTCACTCTTCATCTACGAATGAACAGATGGTCTGTGATCCTCTCTAGCTCTTCTATTCTATATTCTGTCCTTCTCTGGGAGGAATCTCTCCAGCTTGTTTTCCTAGTGGTTTCTTATTTCAAAGAGATGTTTCTATGTACTAGTCACAAGAGTGCCACCTTGTGTCTTACAAAACTGTTACTTGTCAGGTCTGGGATGTGGACTAAGCTTTGCTCTGTGAGAAGAATTAACAGATGATTGAAAGTCAGTATTTTCATGCTCTTTCCCTTAACTCTGCCAAAAACAATTCTATTGAATTCAGTTAGTCCATGAACAATGGCCAGTTAATGCACCCTAAGTTGTCAGCAAACCAAGATGAGACAGAGTGGAAGATCGGGGGGAGCTCCTGCAATCAAGAATAGTTGATTCTGTTTTCCCGAACGCGCGTGCATGTGTACTTGTACTTGTGTTTTCAGCAGGACCAGAGCAAATTAATGAGCTCAAGTTTGCTGGGATTTTTTTTTTTCATTTGCCTTGAAAGGCAGAAAGAGACAGATCTGTCCACTGGTTCCCTGCCTCAAGCTGCAGCCATCAAAGCAGGCTAGGTCAGAGCTAGGAAGGAGCTCAGAGCTCCAGCTGGATCCTCTCATGGCTGGCAGGAACCCAAGTGCTCCAGCCACTGACTACATCTATTTAAATGTCTGAGGGCTTGAGGGCTCACACTTAACAAAGCATCCAAGAAGCCGCTTGGGACTCCTGCATCCCATATGAGACACCAGGGCTTGGGTTCTGGCTGTGCTCCTGAGTCTAGATCTGTTAATGGGTCCCTGAAGGCAGCAAGAGATGGCTCAAGCACCTGGCTTCCTGCCACCCGTAGGAGAGATCTAAATTGAATTTGTAACTCCTGGCTTTGGCCTGGCCCAGCCCTGGCTGTTGTCAGCTTCTGGGGAATAAATTGGTGAATGCAGGTATATCTCTCTGACTCTCTGCCTTTCAAATAAATCAATAGAATAATAAAGCAAAAATTAAATATGATTACAAAAAATGTGTGTTTGGTCTCATTTGTGTTTTCTTTTCCTTCTCTTCAAAGATGCCAATTCTCGGAAGCAAGAAGCAGAGTGGAAAGAAAAAGCAATAAAAGAACTAGAAGAGTGGTATGCAAGACAGGACGAGCAGCTACAAAAAACAAAAGCAAACAACAGGTCAGTCCCTGGTGATGCTTGCAGGCTCCGAGACTGAATTCGAAGCCCGTTTTCCAACATCTAGTGCAGGCGCACGACTGCTGCCTTGTTGAGTGTGAAGATGGCTTTGCAGGTTGTTAAGAAAATGCTTGAACACAGAGCCTGCACATCTCAAGTCTTATGAGCATAACTCAATCTGTTTTCTAGCCATTCCAATTGTAGTTAAGTTTGCTTAAATGTATCACTTATAATGATGTGAATCATCTAAAGAAGTTACTTCATGGGTTAAGTCCAGATGTGAGATCTGGAGTTCTGAAGTGAGCCTCTATGAATACACCAGGATCTCATTACTTGGAGCTGATTACACCTGCTGACATGGCTGCTGCTAAGTACAGCCTTGCTCCGGTAGCTGCTGCAGGGAGGGTCCCTGAGCCGGGAAATGCCTGCTAATGGGATGGCCACGGATGTTCCAACACAGTGACTTCAGAATTGAGGGTTCCCCAGTTACTCCTCTGTGACTAAGAAAATACTGAGCTGACTTCTTAGAAAATGCTATTTTCAGAATATATTTTATTCACTTACTGAAGTGTAAGTAGTTGTGAGGAGAGAATAATACAGTCATCCTTGGCTCACTGCTGCTGGCAGCTGGGGGCTTTTGCACAGCACTTCCTGGAAGTAGCTTAGCAGCGAATTTGCAGCTGCTGCCTGGTTCCCTGCGGGTGAGAGGTGGTTGCTCCACCCACTTGGTGTAGAATCAGACCTCTCTGGCCTGGAGGTGTTTTCAGTTTCCACGGCCCTGGTAGTGAGCTGGGTTAAGTGCCTTTGTCTCCAGTAGCTCTGCTAGGTTGAAGTCAGCTGGAACAGAGAGAACTAGCCTCTGTGCCAGCCACCCGTGCCTTCGCAGGACCACCTGACAGAACACATGGATTCTTTGTTATGTACAGCAGCTCCTCCTTTGAGCCTTTGGTCACCCTTGATTCTGTCAGCCATCCCCACCCCTAGAAACCACCCTTAGACCTGGTCTGGCCGCCTTGTGTCCTCCAGGGGATGCTCTGGAGGAGTGCCCAACAGGTTTTGGGGTTGAGTTGCCAGTGGTGATGGCTTCGTGAACCACACAGGGTTCCTGTTTGGCCTGTGGTCAGTGTAATGTGCTGACTTCCCAGGCTCTTATGTCCCCTGCTTGTCAAGGATGTCCCACCCTCAAGGGCAGATGCAGATCTGAGCCGGCGCTTTGTGCTACCCTGTGACAGCCCCCAGCAAGCCCCCTCAGCACTTGAGTTTTAGCCAGAGTGCTTGGCAAAACTCCATCAACCATCCCTGGGCAGGGTCCCTAGGGCTTTCTCAGTTGGACAGATTATTAGAATTTAAATATGGAACAGGCTTGCTAGGACAGAATCACTTAAGGTCTGTCTTGCTGAATTTCTGTATGGAAAGGATTGCCTCTTGGAGTACAGAATCAGTTGTTCTTGGAGAGCAATCCCATTTGTTGTTAGACCTTCAGCCTTGAAGATTAGTCCTCTGGCTGCGTGTTTAGGGCTGGGGTAGATTTCTTTCCCTATAACTGGGATGCTGGTTTGGGGGGCAGCTCATAGGGACCTCTCAGGTTCCAGAAAAGGGACAGACTTAAGACCCCCACTCACAGAGAGTCTGGAGTTCTTTAGAAGCCAAATTCAAATTCCTTGTTTTCTGGAGACCTTTGCAGCACCGGGCTGATCCTATGGCACAGGGTCTGAGCCCAGAAGGGCTGGTTTTCACACTTTATTCCAGTAATCCTTCAGTGGTCAAAAGTGGGAGCCCTTTTGGAGTCACTTCTGGAGACTTCCTTTGGTGTCATTGCCCCCCTGCAGCAGCATGCAATAGAGCTGGCTACTCCTCGGGCTGCCCGTGTCTGCCTCTGAACTGCGGAGTTCCATCTCTGTAAAGGACTTCCTGCCTCCTTCTCTGTCTCAGGTGATGAATATGTTTAGAAAGCAAAGCTGGGTTTTCAGTTCAAGCAAGCATCATCTTCTCTGGATGACTCAGCAGCCACTGATGTTAAGGGGAGTGTGGCAGCGTGGCAAGGCCTTGGGCAGAAAGGGCCTCCAGTTTGAGTGTGTCATCAGGCATCCTGCCTTCCAGTGTCACCAGAGCAGGAGCACTGCTGTGCTGGGGCCATGCCCTGCAGGGGCTGTGGTCCATGGTCAGTGTCCATACTGCATCCACCCCTGGTCCCTGGCTGGGGCCCAGTGTAACTGCGCAAAAACTGAATTCATGAGTATGGGAAAGAATTCCCTTTGCTTCAGAGTTCTTCAGAACAGTGGTTGAGTTTGTGATTATTATCCCTCAGCACCCAGGGGACCCTGGTGGACATCAGAACCTTGTATGTTCATACGAAGTGCTCAGATTCCTTGTATGAAACAGCATGGCGTTTGCAGAGAGCAGGTTCACATCCTCTTGTGTACTGGGGGGCCACCTTCACAGTACTGGTAATGCCAGATACAGCGTCAGTGCAGGTCGCAGGTGATACACGGGTATGGATATTGTTCAGGGAATGATGGTGAGAAAGATGTGTATATAGGTCATACAGCTGCACATCTATTTCCTGGCACCCGTGGATATGCAGGGCTGACTACTTGGCAAGAACAAACCCAGAACGTGTTCCTTTTCATACTGTAAGAGAAACATTTCCCCCCAGTAAGGAAACTCCCTCTCTAGTAAGGAATCTTCATCCTTGCCGCCCCCCCCCCCTTTTTTTTTTTAATTTGTTAGGAAAGTAGATCAACAGAATGAGAGAGATTTTCCATTTGCTGGCTCAGATGGCTGTAACAGCCAAGGCTGGGCCAAGCCAAAGCCGGGAGCCTGGAACTCCATCTAGCCTCACACATGGGGGCTTAGGGACTATTTTTGACTACCTCCCAGGCACGTGAGCAAGGGGCTGGATTGGAAGCAGAGCTACTGGGACTTGAATTGGCACTCGATAGAATGCTGGCATTGCCAACAGCAGCTTAACATGCCGTGCTACAATGACAGTCTGTTAGGGTATGCTGAGATTTTTCAGCCCTTTATAGACTTGAAAAAGTTTAGGGACTATTCAGTTCGCAGTGGTGGTGTGAGCATTTTTTGCATGTCCCTTTTTGGGGCTGTTTGGAGAATAGTTCTGTGTTGTTCATTTGCCTTCAGAGTTGGTCCTGTGGGCTGGCATTTCTCTTCCTGTTTGGCTGAGGGCTATTTTAGGCTCCCCCTCTCCTGGGTAAAGAACCATCAGGTGGCGGCCACCCTTGTTTAGTCTGTAACTTTGTCTTTTCTGGGCCTATGACGTTGATGTGTCCATTAGTCAAGGGACTAGCAGCAAAGGAGCAAAGACTGACATTCAAGCTTTTGTTGTCATGGTGATGCTGGGTGACAGTCATTAAATCTTCATTCTTTTCCAGTAGAAGCTCACTCTGGTTGAGATCAGTCAGGTTTGACTCTTCATGTGAACTGAAGGGGAGGTAGTGTGTGTTTACAAGGTGGCCTGCTTTGCCTTTCTCCCCCACTCATGCTGATCAAAATTAAACTACAATCAGGCTTTTCTTTTTGCTTTCTTTAAAAAAAATTTTAAGGTTTATTTATTTTTATTGGGAAGTCAGATATACAGAGAGAAAAATCTGCCATCCGCCAGGAGCTTATTCCATCTCCCACGCAGGTGCAGGATCCCAGTTTGGGCCATCAACTGCTTTCCCAGGTCACAAGCAGGGAGCTGGATGGGAAGGGGGCAACCAGGACATGAAATAGCACCGTTATGGGATCCCGGTGGATGCAAGGCAAGGACTTTAGCCACTAGGCTACTGCGTCAGGCCCACTTTCTTTAGATTTCCACAAAGAAATATACATGTGGATTTAAGAAGTAAGCCGAGGGTCCCACGCAATAGCGAAGTAGTTAAAGTCCTCGCCTTGCACACACAGCCAGGATCCCATATGGGTGCTGGTTCTAATCCTGGCGGCCCCGCTTCCCATCCAGCTCCCTTGCCTGTAGCCTGGGAAAGCAGTTGAGGATGACCCAAAGCCTTGGGACCCTGCACCCTCATGGGAGACCCGGAGGAAGCTCCTGACTCCTGGCTTTGGATTGGCTCAGCTCCAACTTTTGTGGCCACTTGGAGAGTGAACCATCAGATGAAAGATCTTCCTCTCTGTCTCTCCTCCTGTCTGTATATCTGCCTTTCCAATAAAAATAAATAAAATTTTTTTAAAAGTTAGCTGAAATTAAAATTACTAGAATCTGCCTTCAAATAAATATGTGCGCTTTGGGTAAAGACCAAGCATAATTAACCTTCAGACATATCACCTCTACTCGCCTACCTCAAACTGACCTACCTAGTCAAAGGACCAGGTAAGACTCCTTGGGGGAGGCTCTGCCTTTTCCCAGTGGGCCAAGGAGGAATGGCTGTGTCCAGGGATGCCAAAGTCCAAGAGCCCAGTCGCTGCAGGGTGAGGTTCCCCCACCCCATGACAAACCCAACTTCTCAGTCAGTCAAGTCTGGCCTAGAAATATTTGGGAACTATACCAGCTTCTTAAGCCAGTGGCCTTAGGGACCAGTGGGCAAGCGCAGGTACAGGGCCGTAGCACTTTCCCCCAGGCTTGCCTTGGGCTCCCTTTTTCTTTAAGGGATTTGAAAATGACCCTCTGTTCCAGGATATTGAACCTTTATCCCACCCAGCCAGCTTGGGAAGGCAAATCTTGGAACCTCAGTGCACACACCAGCTGGGAGGAAGCATTGAGGTGTGGTGCAAAGTAGGAAGTCCGTGGGGCCTGGAGCCCGGCTGTCCTGGGCTGGTCCTGTACACTGCCTCTGTGACACAGCCCAGCGCCTTGAGGTCGCTGTGTCAGGCTGTTTCACAATGTATGTTGGGTGCTTGATAAATGCTCATTGCTGCCAGGGCGAGCCAAGGGGCTGAAACTGACAGTGCACGCTCGTGGGGACTCCCCAGGTGGCAAGGCCAGTGGGGAAACTCAGGGGCTGGCACGGCCAGAAGCCTCGGGGTTGGGCTGGAGCCCCGGCAGCAGCTCGGCAGCGCCCACCCCGCCCCTGCTGTGGATTGTGGATGTTCTGCTTCTCAATGTTCTCTCTTTTTTCCTGCCCGCTTGCCTGCCTTTGGACTTCTTGCTGTCTAGGGTGGCAGATGAAGCTTTCTACAAACAACCCTTCGCTGACGTGATTGGTTATGTGTATGTTGCAAAAACTAATTCCTTTTCTTGTTTTGATTCAATTTGTTTAGAGTTATGTCACAAGTTGTTTTACTCTAAAACACTTCAGACTGGCACTGTGGGGGCTGCCCAAGTGTTGACAAGCTAGGGTACACTCCCATGATTGCCGTGCGGAATAATGACTGCCTTCAGCCACTCATTGCCATTTTTCATATGCAGCGTTTTAGGGGGAAGAAAGTTGACTCCTTTTCAAGTGTGTGTCATTTGTGATCTCACCTGGGCAAGATCTGGGACAGTAGTGGGCTCTGATCTCTTGCTGTTGCTACCGCCACTGCTGCCACCTGTGCCCTATTGCCCCCTCCAGGTGAGAATTCTCACTGGGGAGCAGGTGGCAGTCCCAGGAGGCCAAGAGCTGGGGAGCAGCAGCACCTTGCATTGCCAGATCAGAAATTTGGGGGCAGCTGTTTTCAACACGTAGTTCCTTCGAGGATGTGGGAGTCAGGGACCTCTCCCCCAGGCATCAGGGTTCAGAGCCCAGGGGTTTGTCCCCAGTGGGTGTGTGTTCCCCTGTCATCTTACATATCTAAAATTGTGTCATGGCCAGGTTCTGATGGCCACGCAAGCACAGAGACCCCCAGCTCTGTGGTCAGGTTAGCAAGACTGGCTGGTATAGGCCACATTGGTTTTTCCCTCGTCCCCTGCCCCCTAAAATGGCAGCTTTTTGAAAAGGTTGTTTTTCTTTTCCTTTTTTCTTCTTTTTTTTCTTTTCTTTAAACGATTGCTGTTTATCAAAGCTGCATTGCCAAAAGACTTGGGCCACCTTTGGGGCCCCAGTGAGATGAGAGCGGAATAGCGGAGGAAAGGGGCTCTGGGAGACAGGCAGTTGGGTGGTCTACAGAGCCCCTGAGACCTGGGGTTCTCAAACAGTCCTGGTCAAAGATAGAACTGGGGTTCCTGGGTCCTCGGACGCATTTAAAATGAGGCCTGTGAAATGCTGGATGTACAGGTGGTGTTGGATTGGATTTTTGCACATTCTCTCTGAAGTAGTCATGGAGACTGGAGAGGTCGAGCCTGGTTTTGCTGGGCAGCAGGGTGGCCCAGCAAAGCCAGCTGCACGCTCCCAAGCTTAGGTAGAGCGGCAGGGGCATGTCTAGCTTACTGACCATCTGCATTGAACTCATTCTCATTTTCTATATCTGACCTAAAGTTTCTCTCCTTGTTTCTTTTCTTCTCTTCACCTTTAAGCACAAACATAAACCATCCTTGCTACAGCCTAGAACAGTTAAGTAAACCTTTCTCACTGCCCTAACTGTGTGTGCCATGAAGTCGCAGTGTTGTAGTGGCTCTGGGCTTCAGCGATGTGTGCCACGGCCATCCCTGTGAGAGTGCCCCCCTTGTGCTCACGGACCAGTCACCTTCATTGCTTTTGCTTTGCCCGTGATGCTTGTTGGAGTAAATGGATATAGTATGTCTTCCCGCCTCTTAGCACTGTCCTTATAGGCTGGAGCTCCCCAGTTAGCTCCCTGCTGGGGGTGGGCTGCCTTGATGTGGAAGAATGTTGGAGTAGCCCCCGCCAAAAAGCAGCTCATGCTGGCTCTCCTGCCGGAGTGGTGTGCCCTGAGTGGACTTCAGGCACCTGGCTGGAGAGAAAATGGCAAATTTCTGGCTGACCTGGAGAATGCCCTAATACCCCTGCCTCCCCTTCCAGAATGGCTTTCTGTCTCTAGTGCCTGCTAGCATGGAAGCTTTGTCTTGAATTTCTTTTGATCTGCCCTGTTTCTCTCCAGCCGGAGGAATTAAATCTAGAGGCTACTGTGGGCTTTTTAGAAATCTCTAAATTTCCTTGAAACTCAATACAGCCCAGCATAAGCTAATGCTCAGTTTCTTGACCAGCCAGCTGCTCTGCTCTTCATCACAGCAGCGCAGAGGTGGCTCAGGACTGGCTTTTGTTAATCCTTCAGATGAGCAGAGATTGCCAGACAGAGAGACAGTGAGCCCTAAACCAAACACCTGTATTCCAACATTTTACACAGCGGCTTGGGCACCTTGTGCTGAGGTGCGCTGCCCACATGTCTGTCCCTGCGTCTGCCCCAGGCCAGGGACCGTTCTTGGGGAACGGCACTGCCACGAGCCAGGGATGAGGCAGCAGAGGGAGTCACTTTTCTGTAGCGAGCCAGCCGCCAGGTGGCTCACAGGTGGTTCTACAGTAAACCAACACATTTTGTTGTTGCTTGCAGGGCGGCAGAAGAAGCCTTTGTAAACGACATTGATGAATCGTCCCCAGGCACAGAGTGGGAACGGGTGGCCAGGCTGTGTGACTTTAACCCCAAGTCCAGCAAGCAGGCCAAAGACGTCTCCCGCATGCGCTCAGTTCTCATCTCCCTCAAGCAGACGCCCCTGGTGCACTGAAGAGCCGCCTGTGGAAACACTACTACATCTGCAATATCTTAGTCCTCCTCCGTGAAGCCATTCACAGTAATTGGATTAATTATGTTGTTCTTTTGGACCAAACCTTTTGTCTTTAGAGTTGATCATTGTTTGTGATTGCATGTTTCCTTCACTGTGCTCTCCTTGGCTTTCAGAGAGGAGAGGGGAGGAGGAAGAGGAAGGGAGGACCGCTCCCAACAGTAGCCTCAACTGTGCTTTTACGTGTTACTCGGAGAATAAACTTCTGTTTCAAACAATATCCACGAAGCTTCTTTGTTGACCTCAGGATCTGTGGATTCAGCCAGCAAGCCTGAGCCAGGATGGCAGTCGTGTGACTAGCCCCTTCCTTCTGAATCCCATAGCACCTGCTGGGCTCTGTGTCATCTGATCCATGTTTCCGGTGTGAAGTCTTTTCATCTAAATCTGTTCCAATACAGTGTTCACTGCATGTGTCTGTTTACATTTATATTAGTTAAAAATAGATTTCTCAGGGCTGGTGTTGTGGCACAGTGAGTTAGGCCACAGAGTGCAGTGCTGGCATCCTCCATGGCTCCTAGTTCAAGTCCTAGCTGCTGCACTTCTGAACCAGCTCCCTGCTAAAGCACCTGGGGAACATCAGATGGTCCAAGTACTTGGGCTCCTGCACCGGCATGAAAGTCCTAGAAGAAGCCCCAGGTTCCTGGCTTCAGGCTGGCCCAGCCCTGGCTGTTGCAGCCATTTGGGGAGTGAATCAAAGGAGGATGGAAGCTCTCTCCATCTGTCTCCTTCTCTTTCTGTAACTGTGCCTTTTAGTCCTCAGGACATGTGGTTAGGTGGTGTCGGATCAGGCCTTGTAGATCATGGTGCATCCCTGTCATTGCAGAGTGCTGGTGGAGCACACAGATCTGTGCTCCTCGACCAGCACACTGTCTGTCCTCACAGCTGGCTTCGTGATAGGCATCTTCTGCTCAGAATTACCAAATTGGAGATCAAGATGAATGCCTGTGATGGCACACTAAGGTGGCATTGCAAAGAAAGTAAGTCTGCACACCCACTGGCATGAGCTGGAACTGGGGACAGGACAGGCCAGGCCAGGCTGGTCCAGGCCACAGCATATGCAAGACCTGGGATTGTGGGGTGTCAGCCCAGTAGGGAAGACATGGAGACTCCCCTGCTGGGCCACTGCTCATGTTGGTGAGCATGAGAGTGGGATGGGGCAGACCAGGCTGGGTAGCGCTACAACTCCTGTTGGCCTGCATGTGAACTGGGTTAGAGGGAGAGCTCAGTTGGGCTAACTGTATCCACTGGTGGTGCATGCCTGAGCCAGAGTTAGCGGAGGCTGATTGGGCTTTGCTGCAGAGTCAGCTTTCAAGTGCTAGAACTGAGGGACAAGTCCTATCAAGCTAGACTGCAGAACCACCTGGGGAGTCCAAGATCCAGGGTAGGGAATAAGTGGGTCTAGTAGGGAAACTGAACACCTCTGATGGACTGCAGTTCCCACTGGTGAGCACGAGAACCAGGACTGAGGACGAGCCTGGCTAGGCAGGTGGCGGCACCCACTTGCATGAGAGCTGGAAGGTGGAGTCAGTTGGGTTGAGTTAGGCTCCAGCATGCAATGATGTGTGCGACAACTGGATGGGATGTGAGACAGAGTGGACCCTCCACTGCACCTATTGGCAGGCACAGGAACCAGGGCTGGGGGCTAATACAGTGGGGGTTGCTGGGAGTCGCTCTAACTGGACTGCAGCTCCTGAAGGTGTGCATGGGGGCCAAGTGTGTGGTGGACTGGGTTGGGCTGGTCTGTAACACCCATTGGTTTGTGTAAGAGACGGGGCTGGAAACAGAACTGACCTAACAATTGCAACTACAACATATGTGTAGGCTGATTTGGGTGACAGAATGAGCTGGATCCCATACTGGCAGGCACAAGAGTCAGGTCTGGGATCACCTCATAAGAGATTTCTTTGAGAGGATCCCCCCAACTAAACCATTCGACTCAAAACGCCAGCCATGGGCAGAGTGGCAGGACATGTGATCTGATAGTAGAGCGTGTGTATCTGAACGAGGCCTGCTCAGTTATTGAAGATGGTGCAGTGGACAGCATACCCAGATGCACCTGGAGGATCTGGCAGTCCAGTGGGGCCTGTGGAGGACATCAGGTATTGTAGCAGAGGAAGGAAGGCAGAACAAATTGGCCAGCTACCCCAGTGAAGCTTGCCAGCAAATTTTTGTACAAATGGAGACTGGGGTGGACTGTGTCAACTAATGGACCTTGGAAGAAATCCTTCCTCATCCTTGGATCTGTGAGAGCGACAGCATGCCAGAGCCTTCAAAGTATGCTCCACATTGAGGACCCTGGGATGATGTCAAGTGGCCATTCCCCATCCCTGGGTGCTGGGACGGTTGGGAGGCTGGGTGTGGCTTCTCCCCTTGTCATCTTCCCACCCCTCCCCCCGCCCCAGATAGAGCAAGAAAACAAGGAAGGTGTGGAAATAGTGGTCTCACAAGCTCCCCTTGTCCTCAACTCTTCCCACCCTAATCAACTGTGTGAACATCATCCAAAAAAAAAAAAAAAAAAATCTTCAGTCTGTGCCGCATGGTTGTTCGGATGGCAGAGGAGCTCTGCGTGACTCCGTCCTGCCTCCCCTGCTGGCAAGCTTCTTCGGTGAGCTGTTCTGGCCTCTGCTCACGCCTCTCCTTCAGCCACCTCGGCCTGCAGTCTTTTTTCTTTTCACATAGTTATAAATAAGAAAACGAGAAGTGTATAAGGGTATTTGTGTTCTATAGAATATTTATAAGAATCCTGTTCTCATGCTGGACTACAGCTAAGGTGAATACTGTTGAGGGAGTTAGGGAAGATAATTATGTTAATAAAGAAGGTCACAGGAAAAGGCTCTAATTGTTTTCTGGATTGGCTGAACTTAAGTGCCATGTCTAAAATAAATAAATAAATGTATGTATGTGCATGTCCCAAACCCTTCACTACCATGAGAAGTTTTCAGAAAGTTTGTGGGACATGTATACTATGAAAAACCTTAATAGACTGTAAAAAAAAAAAAAAAAAAAACTTTTCTAAAAAACCTAAATTTTTATTTGAAAGCTGGAGGTTCCATCTGCTCGGTCATTCAGCAAAGGCCTCGCAGCTGCCAGGGCTGTACCAGGCTCAAGGCAGGAGTCTAGAACTGGATCTAGGTGGCAGAGATCCAGGCGGTCAGCTGTTCCCTGCTGCCTCCCAGGGTTCATGCTAGCAGGACGGACTGGAAGCAGATCCAAGCACTGAGGTGGGACAAGTAGACCCTGATTGGCTAAATGTCCACACCTCAATAGTTTTTTTTTTTTTTTGAGAATGCATGTGGCAGTTTTGAAATGTTGACAAGCAACTGAGATGCTTGGATTAAGAAGACACTAGATAACACAGGCTGTTTGTCTTCCAAGGCTAATCACAAACACACTACTCTGAGCTGTCATAGAACTCCTACAGCCCTGAGGCCGCCTGCCCTGGGGAAGCCCGGACCAAAGAGACCCTGAAGCTCCGTGCAGTGACAAGCCTGGCCGGTCCTTAGGGATTTCAGCAGCCTGTTTTTCCAGCTCCAGCCACTCTGCAGGTACAGGTAGAACCTTTCCCAAATTCCTGACCCTTGAGAGAGACAACAGTTACTGGTTTTGAGGTGGCTTATCACACAGCAACAGTGATTTGTGTAAGTCTGTGGGATGTGGGTTTGGTTCTCTATTGCCTGTAGTACTCATATAGAGCTTCGTAAAAGTTGCAAATTCCGGCATAGTAGCTTAGGAGCTAGTCCTCACCTTGTACACGTTGGGATCCCATGTAGGCACCAGATCTGATCCCGGCAGCCCCACTTCCCATCCAGCTCCCTGCTTGTGGCCTGGGAAAGCATTTGAGGATGGCCTGAAGCCTTAGGACCCTGCACCCGTGTAGGAGACCCTGAGAGGCTCTGGGCTCCTTGCTTCATATCAGTGCAGCTTTAGCCATTGCGGCTGCTTGGGAAGAGATCCAGCAAATAGAAGATTTTTCTCTATTTCTCCACTTTTCTTTGTAAACCTGACTTTCCAATAAAAATAAAATAAATCTTTAATAAAACTTTTATAAAAGGAGAAAGCTAGCCAGCCCAAAGATTCAGCAGGTATTCAACATCTCAGGACAGTTTTTTTGTTTGTTTGTGTAAAGATTTATTTTTATTGGAAAGGCAGGTATACAAACAGAAGGAGAAAGATCCTCCGTCTGATGATTCACTCCCCAAGTGACCACAACAACTGGTGCTGCGCTGATCTGAAGCCAGGAGCCAGGAATTTCCTCCAGGTCTCCCATGCAGGTGCAGGGTTCCAAGGCTTTGGGTTGTCCCCTACTGTCTTCCCAGGCTACAAGCAGGAAGCTGGATGGAAAGCAGGCCTGCCAGGATTAGAACCAGCGTCCATATGGGATTCTGGCACATTCAAGGTGAGGACTTTAGCTGCTAGGCCACTGTGCCAGGCTGTTTGTTTGTTTTAAGATTTATTTATTTTTATTGGAAAGGTGGAAATAGAGGAGGAGAAACAGGAAGATCTTCCGTCTGATGGTTCACTCCCCAAGTGACCACAATGACTGGAGCTGAACTAAACCGAAACCAAGAGCTCTTCCAGGTCTCCTGCGCGGGTGCAGGGTCCCAAGGCTTTGGGCCGTCCTCAACTACATTCCTAGGGCATAAGCAGGGAGCTGGATGAGAAGCAGGGCTGCTGGGATTAGAACCGGTGACTATATGGGATCCTGGCGCATTTAAGGCAAGGACTTTAACCACTACACTATCATACTGGGCCCTGTTTGTTTTTAAAGTTTTTTTATTGGGCCTGGCTCAGTAGCTTAACAGCTAAAGTCCTTACCTTTCACATGCCAGGATCCCATACGGGCACCAGTTCATCTCCCACCTGCTCCACTTCCCATCCAACTCCCTGCTGGTGGCCTGGGAAGGCAGCAGAGGATGGTCCAAAGCTCTGGGATGCTGCACCCGTGCAGACCCGGAAGAGGCTCCTGGCTTCGAATTCGCTCAGTTCCGGCCATAGTGGCCGCTTGGGGAGTGGATTAACACAGATGGTCTTCTCTGTCTCTCCTCCTTTCTGTGTGTCTGACTTTCTAATGAAAATGAATATGTTTTTGGGCCCGGCGCGGTGGCGCAAGTGGTTAAAGGTCCTCACCTTGCACGCCCGGGATCCCATATGGGCGCCGGTTCTAATCCCGGCAGCCCCGCTTCCCTTCCAGCTCCCTGCCTGTGGCCTGGGAAAGCAGTCGAGGATGGCCCAAAGCTTTGGGACCTGCACCAGTGTGGGAGACCCGGAAGAGGCTCCTGGCTTCGGATCGGCATAGCATCGACTGTTGCGCTCACTTGGGGAGTGAATCATTGCATGGAAGATCTTCCTCTCTGTCTCTCCTCTCTGTATATCCGCCTTTCCAATGAAAAAAATACTGAAAAATAAATCTTTAAAAAAAAAAGAAAATGAATATGTTTTTAAAATTTATTATTGGAAAGGCATATATATATAAAGTTCTTTGTCCACTGGTTCACTCCACAAGTGGCCACAACAGCTGGAGCTGAGCCGATTTGAAGCCAGGAGCCAGAAGCTTCTTCCAGGTCTCCCACATGGGTGCAGGATCCCAAGGCTTTGGGCCATCCTTTACTGCTTTCCCAGGCCACAACAGGTAAGTGGAGCAACCGGGATACAAACTGCCACCCATATGGGAACCTTGGTGTGCAAGGTGAGGACTAGACTATCGTGCTGGGCCCCAACATGTCAAATTTTAATTACATAACAAGGCCTTCTCTTAAGAAGCTTTCTGGTTAAGGAAAGGATACTAGAGACTGCTTAACCTTCAAAAAATAAACAAGCTAAATCCCTGCTGGGAAGAGAAACACTTTTAGCTAGTGAGCTAATACTAAGAATGGAGAGGATCAGGTTGACTTTCTGCATAGTGAGTTAAGCTGCTGTGTGCCACACTGGCATCTTGGAGTATCAGTTCATCCCGGCTGCGCCCGCCTGCTTCCAACTTGGCTCCTAGCTAATGCTGTGCTGCCAAGGTGGGACACCTGCTCAGAGTTCCTGACTCCTGGCTTCAGTGGCCCAGCCCAGCCCCACCTGGCCCAGCCATTTGGGGAGTGACAGTAGATGGAAATTCTCTTTGTCCCCTATCACTCTGCCTTTCAAATAAATAAAAATACAACAAACAGCTAGTATTTCAACAAGGAAACATTTTTACTTTGAAATTGACTTAGACCAGTAATATATTTCCGTTAAAATAAATTAAGCTGTGATTAGCTATATGTAATAATTTATGTCAGAATATACTATATTTTCTGTGACCCTAACAGTTTTAGATTCAGTACCTTCCTTTAGTTATTTGGTGTGGAATTTGGCAGCAGTGCCATTGTTGGGTGTACTGTGGCTGAGGTTCCGCCGAGGGCCTGCGGATGCCCGTCGGGCAAGAGGCCGTCCTGTCCAGGTGTCGGGGCTGAGTGGTGGCACTTCCTTCCCAGGACTCGCCACGGAATGTCTGAGCAGTGACCGGGACCTGTGGTGATTTAAGAGCTGACAGACGACTAGGCATCAGCCAGCCTTTTTCAGGGGATAATCAAATATGACATGATTCCTTCATCTTAGTTTATACGTTAACAAGGAAATGATGTAGAAACCTTATAGTTGTAAGTTGTACTGAAACAACAACAAAAATAACATGGAAAATATATGCATAGGCATTTTTAGGTCAGCTAAAAGTACTCATTAAAGCTGTCACTAGACCAGGTACTGTACTGGCAAGGTTTCTATAATGCAAGAATGATTTCATTAAACTGACAGTTGAGACACAGTGTCATTTGCAAATCATACTCTTGTTAAAACATCTGGTATCCTCAAGTGAAGTGGCACATGTCAGCATTTTGGAAGCTGTTTTGAAATGAAGGGTTGCAAGGCTTAGTGGAGAAAGCACACAGGGACCTGGGTCAAACCCTCTCCTGAGTCTCTAGCCCCCAACTTCAGGTTTGCCACTTAAGACACTCAATGTTTGGGAATCCCCAGTGGGAATTAAAGTAGCATCACAGGTTGTGAAAATGCAGAAAGCAACCTAATGCAGAGGCTGGCACACGACAGGCGTTTGGTAAGTAGTGACTTGGCGGTATTTTCAGGTTAGTTACAAGCCAGCACTTTGGCTTTTGTAAAATTTTATACCAATTGAAGTGGGTTCTTTCTTGGTCAGAATCCAGATCCGCAGAGGTGGGCTCTGGGTGTGACACATGCAAACACTGCTTTAAAGAATGGCGGGCCAGAGCCAGCACACAGGACAAGGAAGTGTCTGCCGTTTAGCAGCAAAGATCTCTTGGGGACAGTTAATCTCCTTTCCAAGGCTGTGCCTCCCAGTGGCTCCTCAGCTATCTCTAAGAAGATAAGCACAAGGTCACCAAAGCCACTGCAATCCCAGATCCCTGGGGTAAAGCCTTTACAAGTTCCACAAGTGATGCTATAATAAGGGGGTGCCAGAAAAGGTCAACACCTTGATTGCAGTGGTGGTTTCACAGGTATATACACAGGGCAAAGCTTATCAAATTGTCTACTTTTAAAAATGTCAGTAAGACTTTTTAAAAACAAGTTTACAGTTTCTTTCTGTGATCTGAGTGTGGGGTTAGAGGAAGAGGAATTAACTCAAACTCACTAGGAACTTCACATCCCAAGCAAGGCCTGTGGGCCCGAGCAGTTCACGTTAGTCCTAAGGCTTCCTGGTCTACCATCGTAGCTCCTTTTGGCACAGAAAATGGTGACTGGAACTTAGAGTTTGGGTCAAAGTGACCTCTCCTGGGATAATATTAGAAAAAAACAATGTCTACAAAAATGTGGACTGTAAAAGGTAAATTTGGAAAAAGAGGCAAAAAAAATTTTTTTTTCCTGCCAAAGTCACCTGCAGTGAAATTATAGATTTGCTTTCTAAGCAAAGTTTTTCTAAAAGACCAGAACTTGATGCCACTGAAGATCTCGCCAGCATCGGTCCATGTCCACGCCGAGGAGGCCTAGTAGATCCTGCGAGTTGTGTAGTCGAGAACCATGCTGGCGGCGCCCAGCAGCGCAGGGTCAACCAGATCCGACACCACCACGTCCACGTCCTGCACCGAGGACAGGGCTTGCTGGCGGATGACGTCTTTGACGATGTGGATGTAGTGACTGGCCAGGACTCCAGAGAGGATCACGAGGGAGGGGTTCATGGTGTGGAGGATGTTCACAACCCCGAGACCCAACGCTGTTCCCGCTGCAGGAAAACAGAAAGCAAGGATCAGGGGAGAGTTCAATCAGAAGCACCAAAGAGCCTGCGGTGCGTCCATGCTGTGCGGCAGGAGGCAGGATTTTAAAAGTTGTTTACAACTTATGTAATAGGAGAAGGTGACCAAAAGCAGGAAATAAGATCATGTCTCCTATATGATTTCAATTGTGTAATGTAGTGAATAGAAGAATGAATAGAAAGACTGAAGAAAAATGTTAATAGCCGATAACTCACACACCTGTGTTTGCTGTATCACTATCACAATACAGGATGAACCAAGCTTTTCCTCAGCAGACAAATGGATTAAAAATGAATGGTGTGTACACACACATAAAGGATTATTGAGTCATAAACAGATACAATCCTATCACTTGTGGCAGTATGGATGGGACTGGAGGACATGATGCTAACTGAAATAAGCCAGGCAGAGAAAGGTAAATATCACATATTGTACACGTATTGTACACGTAGAAGTAGAGAACAGAACAGCAGTCGCTGGAGGCTGGGGAGGCGGGGAGGGGCTTGAGAGAGGCCAAATCACAGCTACCAGCAACAATTACAGCAGTAGTTCTAACACTGCAGGACAACAAAGTGTCTAGTCACAAACATGAATTATACACCCAAAATTAACACAAGAATTTGAAGATTCCTAGCTAGAAGTGATACTATCTGAGAAGATGGAAATGTTAATCATGAACACGTACACTGTGAACACATATCAAAACATAACATTACAATCCAAAAATTATAGCGATGTCAGTTTTAAAAATTAAAATTAATAAGACTCAATGTAACTCAGTGTAACTTTTGATACATTTGATACATTTTGATACATTTCTCTAAATCTATAAAATGAACAAGTAGTATTTTCAGATTGTAAAACCAAACTACAAATGCCAGGGGCTGGCATCGTGACACAGTGGGTAAAATCATTGGCTGCGATGCAGGCATTCCCATAGGGGCACCAGTTCATGTCCTGGCTGCCCCACTTCCAAACCAGCTGCCTGCTAATGCCTGGGAAAACCAGCAGGAGATGGGCCAAGTGTTTGGGGCCCTGACATCCAAGCCGGAAACAGGGATGAAGCTCCTGCCTTTGGCCTGACCCAACCTACACTGCTGCAGCCATCTAGAGAATGAACCAGCAGATAAAAGATCTCTGTCACTGTGTCTCTCCCTCTCTGTGTAACTCTCAATATTCATATCAGTAAGTAATAAAAAGCAAACCAAGCAACCTGTTTGAAAAGGCAATGCTGCCAAACACCTTGATTGCCCTTCTTTCTTCTGTCTGTAGTAGAACACGCACCCTGACCCGGCATGGAGGAGCACTGGTGACACACACCCACCTGTTCTTAAGATGCTCTGGGCCTTTGCATTGCCAAGTTTTGCAGCTTGGATGAGATGGAGCGCGCCCACGGCTTCATCTTTGGGCACTGACATCCCTTCCACCAAGAGCAGGTCCTCTGAGTGGAGTGAGAAGGACAGTCATTACTGAGCTGCAGCAGCCCCACAGGGAGGCCAAGCTCAGCTCTGCCTGTGGGCGTGGCCCCAAGTGCCCACCGTCATTCACAAACATCCACAGCCTTCTTGCTGCCTGTTTATCTGGAACCCAGAAGTTCCCTAACCGGGAGACACTCAAGTCTGACCACAGCCTCCTAGTTCTCCAGCCCCTCACTTCTCACTTTAAATAGTATAGTCCTTCACATGTTCTGCCTAATCTCTACCCCAAATCATCTAACATCTGCATCTGGCTGCTTCCCAGTCCAGCCTAGGGGAGGAGCTGCGCTACTGGCCAGTGAGTGGCACTGTAAGGTGGTGGCCAAGGGACAGTCAGGCTTCTCTGCAAGTTTCTCTATGCTAGAACACTGGAGCAATAATACCTCCCTGTGCAGGATTATTTCAGGATTAACTGAGATGATGACATAAAGTACTTAAGAGCTGACTGGAGTGAGTGTTAGATAGTCGGTTATTTCTGTTACCTGTACCCTGTTTTCCTGCTAGTCTCTAACCCAGATCATAGTAGCTCCTCATCTGCTGTGACACTGCGCTCTGGAGGAGGAAAACCCCTAACCACAGCGGCGGCGTCAGCTGACTGCTCTGCCTCCTGCGGCCCTTCCGGCCACCCAGGCGGCTGCTCTCCCCGTCCCCGTCATTGACCTCTGCTTCACCCTCACCTGCTCCCTGCCCAGCCAATAGCTTTCCATTCTTAAAGAATCCCACAGATGGGGACTGCAGTGCCTTTCTGCCCCACCTACAAAATCATCTGTTGGCACATCTTCACTGTTCTTTCCCACTCCTGGGCCCTTCATCCAGTTTTCCAGCTCTCTCGCCATCTCTTTAGACCCCTGCTGTAAGGAATTCATCCCTTTCCCTCCTGAATTTGCAACCTTTGCTTCCACCCCCACTGTCTCCTTTCCATTAGTATCTGCACACAGATTGGTTTGGGGAACAAAAAAAACATACTGTGGGCCCAGCATGGCAGCCTGGTGGCTAAAATCCTCCCCTTGCATGTGCCAGGATCCTATATGGGTGCCAGTTCATATCCTGGCTGCTCCATTTCCCTTCCAGCTCCCTGCTTGTGGTCTGGAAAAGCAGCTGAAGATGACCCAAAGCCTTGGGACCATGCACACCCGTTCAAGATCCGGAAGAAACTCCTGGCTTTAGATAAGCTCAACCCCAGCCGTTGTGGCCACTTGGGGAGTGAACCAGCAAATGGAAGATCTTTCTCTCTGTCTCTCCTTCTCTCTGTAAATCTGGCTTTCCAATAAAAATAAGTCAATCTTTTTTTTTTTAAAGCTATACTGTATGTATGAAACATTAATATACTTGCTAAACACATAAACTGTTTATGGTGCTGAAGTTCACCGGGGAGAAATGATTAGGAAAACAAAGCCCCCTTAAGAGTGTGAAAATGAACAAGGCTGAAAAATAAACAGCACTTTCAAGCAAGGCTTCCAATGGTGTCATGGCCAAAGACAATGAACTTTTCTGGGTTTTTTTTTTTTTCTGACTCCTAAACATCCCTTGACAGTCCTGACTGCTCCTTCCTAGAAACACCCCCTTGGTTGACTCCTGCGACATTTCCCTTTCCTGGTTTTACTTCCATCCCTCTCCCTGCCCCTTAAGTCCATCCTTGATTCTGCCAGACTCTCAATCACAAGTTGGTCTGTGCCGTTTGTTACCGCCTTCCTCGAGCCCAGTCATCCTTCCTGAGCAACAGAACCTGCAGCCAGATGCACCCTAGGGATCTGCACCACACGGACAGGCAATCACCTGTCATGTTCCACCTACACCTTACCTCCTCTCCCATTCCCAACCCCAAGTTATTCATCCAGAAAACTGGTTGTTATTCTGGAACTGTCCCACTCAACTACCATTTTTCCCATCAAAAACAAGAGGTAACAGTTCAGTGGAGAACCCAAAATTCAGATCCAGGGATGTCTTTTCCCTACAATTTGGTCATGGTGTCTTCATGACTTGCTGGTCCCAGCTTCCCTGCTTCCTTGCCTTTCATGGACCAACACCACAATTTCAGTGCCTGGAAGAGCTTCGCTGGTCACCCAAGCCTGCCTGGATAATTCTGTTTACCCTCTGACTCTTAACCTCCAGGACGGCACCCTAGCACGCCCTTCCCTCCATGAGGAGGCCAGGGAAGAAACTCCGTCCTGACATGCATCTACATTCCTTGGCCATCATTCTCCCTGCACTTGGCATACTGCATTGTAATGACATTAAAGGCCTCTCCTTTGCATTAGACTAGAAACCATCCTAACTCTCAGAATGGACTCGGAAACCTGAAATCAAATGGGACTCCCAGAGATTACAAACTACAACATGTAAAAAATTAATAGCATTTATATCTTCACTGAAATGTGCACTCTGTAACCACCCAATGCAGGTGACTCCGAAAGACTAGGGGAAACCTTCCAGCTCTGCTGGAGCACCAGGCTATCCTCCCTGGCTCAAAGAGGGGTTGTAATAATCTGGGTCAACACCAGGACACAAGCAGCTTCAGGCCAAGGCACCCCCTTCTTCCCTTAGCAAGTGGACAAGTTGCAGGTTCTGGTTTTAGGTTTTAACTCTCTCCAGAATGCCTACTTTCAAGTACTCGTCTCCCACTTGGTCACCCATGGACTCAGGAACAAGACACCAACCGTCATGCAGCTTTTTGGCTTCCCTCTGCAAGGCCATTCCAGACGCATACGCTTCGATGCAGCCATGGCTGCCACAGGAGCAGTCGGGTCCGTTCAGAGACACAACCAGGTGGCCAAGCTCCGCGGCACAAAAGGAGCTTCCATGGATCAGTTCGTGCTGATGAATGATGCCGCCGCCGATCCCTACGGGCGAGAGGCACACATGAGTGTATGAGTGCGGTGGCACTTCCTCCGAGGCTGACAGTGCTGTTGGTACCCCATCTGTTCAGCAAAGCTCTATGGGCGAAGTTCCACATAATGCCTGGTTTTCTAGATAGCTGAAGCTTATGAAGTACCAAAAACTTCATCTGGCAGCGTTTTGGAGGGAAGTAAGGGTATTTTTATTATTATTTATTTGAGAGAGAGAGGAGAGCAGACCCATCTCCTGGCTCACTCCCCAACAGCTCCTACTGGCCAGGCCTGGGCTGGGAGTTGTGAACTCGGTCCTGGTCTCCCACACAGGCAGCAGGAGCCCAGCTGCTAGTCATCCCTGCTGCCCCCTGATGCCTGCTTGGCAGGGGGCTGGAATACAGAGCTGGAGCTGGGAACTGAATCCAGACACTCTGACATGGTATAGAAGTGTTGTTGCCAGAATTTTAACCAGTAAGATAAATGTTCACCCCTGAGTATTTTTGGCAGCTCCTCTATTAATGTATATCACATTTGCTTGGCTCACTATGATTCCCAACAGTGCAAGCTCAAGACTCACAAAGACCGTCTCAAATACGCATGTTTGCCATGCAGGCTCAGGATCCCCAACCAAGGTCAGACAGGAGCTGGCAGACCCAAGGGCACGATTCTGGGTGGTATTCTGCCAGCTTCTTGGAAGGTTCTGGTGAATTTCAGTGCCTACTGTCATCCAGGCGACTGTGATAGTGTACCTTGAATAGCTTGCCTCATGCTGTTTCACTCTTTCTACTCCTACCTCCAATTTCTCAGAATCACCTTCAAAAGAGAATCCTGTACCTAAATCCTGTTCCTGGCTCTACTTTGAACAAGGAAACCCGATAAGGCACTCTTACTAACATGCATCCCACAAAACTTGCTTTGGAAACAGAGAATATGAAATATGGTTTTGCCTTTTCTTGATGCCACCATGATACTAATGACCCTTCTTTTATGGAATTTAGGCAAAACCAAAGACAGAGGAAGTTTGATGTGACTGTCCTGCCATCTGTCACCTCTGGTGGCACCTATTCAACTCCCAACCCTTTGATTTGTAGCTTGCTAGGCGAGGCTACCCAAGCTTGCTAAAACCATCTGTGAAACAGAGAGCATGTGAGCTTCCAGTCCAGCTCTGTTCCTGGTTCCACCTTCTTACTGGTGCAAACTGTCCCTATTAGGCCTAAGTGCTTGCTTTCCTGCCACCCACAGGGGACACCTGGTTTGAGTCCCCAGCTGCTGGCTTCAACCTGGCCCAGGCCCAGCCACTGCATGCATTTGGGGAAGAAATCAGAGGATGGGCTCAGCCTCTCCTTCTCTAAAATAAATAACATCAACTAATTTCTAAAATTAATTGTACACCTTAAATATATACAACAAAAATAAAAAATCAAAACATAAAGAGAGTTCAACAAAAACGACAGAGTAAATAACTCTAAAAGTCCATCCCACCATTAAAGCAATGAACACATTCCCAATACTGTCAGAATCTATTGTTTTGAACTCTGGAATCTCACCAAAAGTTTTCAATAACCATCGCAATGCTTAATCAAAATAAAACCCATTGCCTCTAATCAGCTTTCTGGTACCAAATTCCCCTGGTCCCATCACATGCTCTCCAGCTAAGTGGTGACACAGCTCACACTGGTAAACAGATACCAGTGTCAGATACCATTACGTGAGAGAGAAAAATAAACTTACTCTCAAAAACTAGGGCTGGTTTTTGACTTGCCTGACAGCTCCATCAAAGATCTGCTCCCCTTACCTAGGAACTATTCCACCAAAATGGTATTTGTTAATGAAAGTGAAAGGTGAGATGTGCTAATATCTGTTGACAACAGTAGAGCCGCAGTTACAATAAAGTAGCCAAACACACCAGTAGGAAAAACTGAGAAGCCTAGGCGAATATAAGCACTTTGGTTATCTCTCACAAGTTCCTAGGAATTTGGAAGGCCAGGCCAAATGCATATCCAATGCCAGATACATGGTCAGACAAGACCTGAGCTCTGCCACGCGACTCGCCTTCAAGCTCTATTCAAGGAGGAAGTGAGGGCTAAGGCAGAGTTGGTATTTACCTGTGCCCGTGATAAGTGTCACAAAGTTTTCCAGCCCCTTTCCTTGGCCAAATTTCCTTTCTGCCAGGGCAGCACAGTTGCCATCATTGTCTACCCACACGGGGAGGTGCAAAGTGTCGGACAAGGGAGTCCTGAGATCTACTGAGTTCCATTCTTGAATCAGTTTGGTTGAATGCAGCACAATTCCTTCCCGAGGATTTACACGGCCACCTGTGGAAATGCCTGAGCTCCGCCACAGGCACAAGGAAAATAATTCCGGTTAGGAAAGTGTGTCCAGGGCCCAGCGCCATGGCCTAGCTGCTAGGGTCCTTGTCTTGAATGCCCCGGATCCCATATGGGTGCAGGTTCTAATCCTTGCAGCCCCGTTTCCCATCCAGCTCCCTGCTTGTGGCCTGGAAAAGCAGTCAAGGATGACCCAAGGCCTTGGGACCCTGCTCCCTCATGGGAGACCTAGAAGAGGATCTGGGCTCCTGGCTTCAGATCAGCACAGCACCGGCCGTGGTGACTTGGGGAGTGAATCACCAAACAGAAGATGTTTCTCTCTGTATATATCTGACTTTGCAATAAAAATAAATAAACCTTAAGAAAAAAAAAAAAAAAAGGAAAGTGTGTACACTTCCTTGACTTATAAGCACATGAATTCCTTCAAGATCTCCTAGGACAAACATTACCAAGAACTGCACAGGAGTATCTGGCAGCTCTGAGCTAAATCTATACCTATCCATGGTTTAGAGATTTTTTAAATGCCTCTCCCATATTGCTTATTGGTGTTGCAGGAAGTCCCTATGTTTTGTGTCACACACAGGCCCTGGAGTCGTCATCTAGACACAGATCAAATACTGACTTGCTATTGAGTCATGTACCGCAGCTTGCTTAGCTTTGCACATTGAAATGAACATTTCTTGGATAGGCAATTTACAATCTCACCTACTCCCAAAATCCTGCAGTTCAGTTTTACAGCTTCTGCTGCAGCTTCCACACACATCTGTAGGATTAAGTTAATCCTTTCTTCATAGGTTTTTGGATTGAACTGAGTATACTTCTTAACAATTTCACCCTAAAAGAGAAAAAACAAAAAAGAAAAGAAAAGCAATGGATTCTGACTCACTGGAAATGGTCAAGGAAAACACCACGAACCTTTTGATCTCTTCTGAGAAATGACATACTGCATGGAACAGTACTTTTGTAGACTTCAGCTGACTGCTGGGGAGGGAGCCATCGCTGGCTCGGACTGGCCTGGAACCAGCCGTTTCCTGGGACTCCATCCTAAACACTGGGCTTTGGAAGCAATGACAACTCCAAGGCCTTGAGGTGGGCCTCTCTTCAAAGCTTAAGGTGAATGTCAGCTCGCCTGAATCTGGTCCACTGAAAGGTCATATTTAACTCTTGCAGGCTGAAAATTTTTCTTGCTTAAATACTGAGGCAATAGAAGGTTATCTTAAGTAGTTCAGTTTTGATCATAGGCAGTGGCTGAAACTAATAAATGGCTTGGTTACTCTATTTGCTCAGGGTAAATGTCCACGCTGGCTGGCACAAATATCACTCTCCTGAGATTACTGTGTGTTCTGATTTGTTCTGTTGTCACACATGGATGGTCCCTCCTATCCATGACAGTTTTTTCTTGTTTATCTCACTAGCATATTTAAGTAAGTTTTACAATGACATTTTTAAACTTTAAATTGCCACTGTGATTATGAAAAACTTTATTAAAATGTCTAAAATCCCATTGAAATGTCAACTAAAACTATGTTCAACTTAAATACAATTTGGAAAGCACTGACTTTTTAAAAAATTTTATTTTTATTTGGAAGGCAGTTACAGAGAGAAGGAAAGACAGAGAAGGATCTTCCATTTGCTAGTTCACTCCCCAAAGGAATTCAAGAGCCAAAGCTGGCCCACGCCAAAGTCAGGAGCATGACGCATCTTCTGGCTCCCCCTACGAGAATGCAGGGGCCCAAGAACTCGGGCCATCTTCAACTGCTTTCCCAGGAAGGGAACTAGGCTGGAAGTGGAACAGCTAGGACTAAAACCAGCACCCATATGGGATGCCAACACCATAGATGGAGGCTTAACCTACTATGCTACAGTTCTGTCCCAGCACTGACATTTTAAAAATACTCAATACTTCCATGCGGGACTTTTTTCTGGTTTTGGTGATTTAGGAGTTGTATGTTGTTGCTGTAAAGGGCATCTCTATTTCTATTTTATTTCCTTCACTTTCCTGCTTTATTCAAATCACAGTGTGAGTCAAAGACACTGGTAAACAGGCTATGCCTCTAAGGAATTCCTTGTATACATGGTTGGTATAACAGGCTGGGACACCGCCTGGAATGCTGGAATCTCAAACGGGACCTGATTTGTGTTGTCAGCTCTTCAGCTTCCAGTCTAGCTCCCTGTTAACGCTCCTGGGAGGGCAGTGGAGAACAGCCCAATGGGGTCAGGCGCGAGACTTGTTTGAAGCTCCTGGCTTCTGGCTTTAGCCTGGCCCGGCCCTGGCTGTTGTAGCCATTTAACCAGTGGATAGAAGAAATCTCTCTCTTTCTCTCTGACTTTCTCAAAATAAATTCATAATTTAAAAAAAAAAAAACATTTACTTCAGAGCAGATTTTTGTCCCATCTACTGTTTTTTTATAAATGTTTTTTTTTTTTAAAGATTTATTTTTATTATTTTTTTTTATTGGAAAGGCGGATATACAGAGAGGAGATACAGAGAGGAAGATCTTCTGTCCGATGATTCACTCCCCAAGTGAGCCGCAACGGGTCGATACTATGCCGATCCGAAGCCAGGAGCCTCTTCCGGGTCTCCCACGCGGGTGCAGGGTCCCAAAGCTTTGGGCCGTCCTCAACTGCTTTCCCAGGCCACAGGCAGGGAGCTGGAAGGGAAGCGGGGCTGCCGGGATTAGAACCGGCGCCCATATGGGATCCCGGGCGTGCAAGGCGAGGACTTAACCACTTGCGCCACCGCGCCGGGCCCCCCATCTACTGTTATACAGTATTTTATAGATCAATATATCTGATATGAAATTTGACTAAAGAAATATAATAGAATCTTTTAAATATTTATTTATTTTTATTGGAAAGTCAGAGTAATAGAAAGAAGCAGAGACAGAGAGAAGGATCTTCCATCCACTGGTTCACTCCCAAGTGGTTGCAATGGTCAGTGCTAAGCTAATCTGAAATCAAGAGCCTGGAGCCTCCTCTGGATCTCCCATATAGGTGCAGGGTCCCAAGGCTTTGGGCCGTCCTCAAAAGCTTTCCCAGGTTACAAGCAGGGGGCTGGTCAAGAAGTGGATCTGCTGAGATATGAACCAGCACCCATATGGGATCCCTGTGCATGCAAGGCGAGGACTTTAGCTACTAGATTACCATACCAGGCCCTATAATAAAGTTTATTCTTATATGTGAACGTGATTTATTTTTACTATTATTAAATTTATTCAATCGGTACTTGCCCCCTCTGCTTACACGTAAAATTTTCAACACTTCCTTTAAATTTGATGTCCATCAGGGCAATCTGCCCAATATAACATTTGAGACAGTAATTTTGAGTGGATTTTTGCCTTTAGGAGGAATCATGTAATTAAGAAGTTGATTAAGAAATCCTACATCTGGCCATCCCAAATGGCCAGCCATAGTAAGGACTGAACCAAGCGAAAGCCGGGAGACAGATCTCTGTCCTGGTCACCCATGTGGTGACAGGGACCCAAGCATTCGGGCCATCCTCTGCTGCTTTCCCAGGAGCTCCAGCAGGGAGCTGGATGGAGAGTGCAACAGCTGGGATGTCCGCATTGCAGGCAATGCTTCAGTCACTGTACCACAACACGACTCTGACATCACACTTCCAAATAGTAAACAAATTTTTTAAGAATAAATAAAAAATAAACCAAACAGCAGTGTCTGTCAACCTTTACTGTACATCAGAATTACCTGATGTAAATTAAATATCTGATTTATTTTTATTTGAAAAACACAGTTACAGAGAGGAGAGACAGAGATCTTCCATCCTCTGCTTCATTTCCCAAATGGCCTCAACAGCTGGAGCTGGGCTAGTCTGAAGTCAAGGAACTTCTTCCAGGTCTCTCACAGGTCCAGGGATTCAAGGACTTGGCCCATCCTCTGCTGCTTTCCCAGGCTATAAACAGAGAGCTGGATCACAAGTGGCGCAGCTGGGATTCTAAGCAGTGACCATATAGGATGCTGGAGCCACAGACTTCATGGTGACAGGCCCAGATGGTGGCTTTTAGTAACTACCAATGCCTGGACATCAGTTCCAGAAATTCCAGTTTAATCAGTATGGGGCGAAACCCAGGCAGCTGTGTATTTTTTTTTTTTTAAGATTTATTTTTATTGGGGCCCAGCGGCATGACCTAGCGGCTAAAGTCCTCGGCTTGAAAGCGCCAGGATCCCATATGGGCGCCAGTTCTAATCCCGGCAGCTCCACTTCCCATCCAGCTCCCTGCTTGTGGCCTGGGAAAGCAGTCAAGGACGGCCTAAAGCCTTAGGACCCTGCACCTGTGTGGGATAACCGGAGGAGGTTCCTGGATCCTGGCTTCGGCTCGGCATAGCATCGACTGCTGCAGTCACTTGCGGAGTGAATCATCGGACAGAGGATCTTCCTCTCTGTTTCTCCTCCTCTCTGTGTATCTGACTTTCCAATAAATGAATAAATCAAAAAAAAAAAGATTTATTTTTATTGGAAAGGCAGATACACAGAGAGGAGGAGAAACAGAGAGAAAGATCTTTCATCTCCTGATTCACTCCCCAAATGGCTGCAACAGCTGGAGCAAAGATAATCTGAAACCAGGAGCCAGGAGCGTCTTCCAGATCTCCCATGTGGATGCAGGGTCCTAAGGCCTTGGGCCATCCTCACTGCCTTCCCAGGCCACAAGCAGGGAGCTGGATGGGAAGTGGAGCAGGGCCGTAGGGGTTAGAACTGTCACTCATATGGGATCTCGGCATGTGCAAGGCGAGGACTTCAGCCACTAGGCACCATGCCAGGCCCAGGCGTGTATGTTTTAAAGCTTCCTGGTAATGCTAACATGCAGGCAGGTTGACAAACCACCTGGAGGAAAACTAAATCTTTGTCTATAATTTCATGCAAGTAGAAATTATTCATACTTCTATATTTATCATAACATCCAGCCATTTGGATAGGTTGTTTTACTAACACAATTTATTTTATTTACTCATATTGTCAATGAAGAATATCTTGGAGCTCCTCATTGTCAGCTCAAGTTTATTATCTTGGATTTCCAAAACTCCAAATAATAAATTAAGTTGGTAAAAGAGCAAGACACAGGTTATAACAGATGCCAAAACTAATGGCAATAGGCAAATGTTTACAAGTTCTCCATATTTCTGGTTTTATCTTCCCAATATATTTTAAAATGTATCAAGCAGTTATATGTGATAGAAAGTTAAGTGCTTAGGAGTTCTGTTACCTTCATGCTGACTATTGCAACTCGCAGGTTTGTTCCACCAAGATCAACCGCCAAGGCACTCAGAGTTTCCAGGATATGGTCAATGTCCTGAGAGATATTCTCCTTCACTGGAGGAAAGCAGAATTTCTTTTGTAGTGGCTCTTGCAGATCAATAGATTTGAGAAACTTCAAAATCCTTGGAACAGCATTTCCATCCCCATATATCTTTGAACTGTAATAACCAAAAGTCAATTAAGTCAAATGCTCCCACCGTGTCGGTTCAGTGATGCTAGGCAAGGGGCATGATTTAATGGGGTCCTGAGACTTCCTCTCAAAAATGGATCACACTCCTTCTTAAAGGAAGATCTTCACAATGTATATGTATTTCAGAACAAAAGGCGTACAGATAAATACATTCAATTTTATTTGTCATTTCACAAAGCCAAAATGAACTTGAAATTATAATTACGCTAAAACAACAACACATGAATTTCTTCAGAAACAAAGCAATGGTGTATCTACTTTGGGGAGTGGTTAGTTTCTGTGTTTACATGTCTGAGGAAGCAAAATCATTTTCAGGAAAAAAAATTCAGAGGAAAATTCCATCAATGAGAATCAAAAGAGGTTAGCTGAAGTAAATGAAAATATTTCATTTTAAAATTTATTTTATTTTCCAGTACTTATCAGAAAGGTTAGGTTAAAAAAGTGCTATAATTAGTTAACTGAGATGAAAACACTCCCCATTGAGACCCCTGGAAGAGTATACTAAGGGGCATGATACTGCCATGCCCAACTCATCAGCAGCTAGGCAGGAAACAGCATTAGAAGGAAAGCTCTGTTGAACAAGCGATTGAAACTTTAAGATGGCATGTGAGACAACCCCCCCCCTTTAATAAACTGCCACCCAAAGGGCGGGCACTCACCATGGGTACTGTTTGCCAAACTGAAGGTGCAGTGCCTGCAGTATCTTGTCTTGGGTGTCAGCATCACGGACATGAAGGACATTCTCCCCTAGGTGGAGCCACACACATGTTGCAATGATTTGGATGTGGAAACAGGCAAAGAATAAAGAAGCTAGCAGAGTGCTGTGCTCATGACTAGCCACGGAACACATCAGTCTCCTGTTTTGCAGGGGTGGGGAGTGTCTGGCCTGCGAGCTGTATAGGCCCATGAAATCATTGGGGCTGGCCCTGCCAAGGCAACTGCGGGCAGGATCTGAAATTCAGCAAATCAACAGGCTAGCTTTGAAGTCAATCATTTTGTGTGGCCTACAACTATCCAAGTGGTCCTTGGCAGAAAAAGGACTCCCTACCCCTCTTAGGGAGCCAATACCTTATCTACCTCAGACCTTCTGAAGCACTTCCGGCAAGACTTCCATGTAGCAAACCCAAAGGAATAAAACGTACTTTTGTTCTGTTTTCTTTTACTGAAAAAAATAAGTTGAATTCATCTAACATCCATGTCCACTGGCCTTCTATCTGCTCAGCTACATCCAGTTAGTTCTATCAGCTGGTCATGCCACACTGTTGCCTAGTGCTGCTCAGCTGCTCAGCTACCTGCTCTCCATACACATCCTGACAGTGTGAGAAAGTCCAGTGAGAACTGCCACGTTTTCCCCAAGCTTGGAAGGAGAGAGGAGCCAGAGTAGAGGCTGCACAAAGATGTGGGTCAGGGAACAGGTTGTTTCATACTGTTTTGTTTTTAGACAGGCCTCGGTGTATCCAAATGATGGAAAGGTGAAATAGAGAGAAGCTAAAAAGTTGATGAATCTGAAAAGTTGGCATGTTAGTCTAGTTTGCCACCAAATCACTCCACTTGGCACACAGGAGGTACTTTTTCAATATTTTCTTTTAGAAATTATTGATTTCTTTTTACAGCGACAGAGAGCTCCCATCTGTTGGTTGCTTCCCTAGGCTCTGGGAACTCAACCCAAGGTCCTGCCGAGCGGCAGAGACCCACCCACCTGAGCCATCACTTGCCCAGCGGCAGATCCACTCACCTGACCCATCACTCGCCACTCTCAGGCACTCACTGCAGGAGGCTAACGTCAGAAACAAAGTTGGGACGTGAACCCATGCACTGCGACATGGGATGCAGTTTCCCAATCTGTAGGGGAAGCACCCACACATACACACACTCCTAAATAGTTTCTTAATTGATACATTTACATTACATAATTAAGTATTTTCTAATTAATGAATTTGAAAGAATTTCCATCTCACAGTTTCTATTTTCTCTATGAAATAAAGAGCAACATAATATGTTGGGGATGAATGGGGAAAGATCTAAAAGTAAGAGAAAGTGAAAGTGGCAGTTATAAAGGATGGAGGAACAGCACTGGGATTAATCTTGGTACTAGTCCTGTTCCCACTCCATTAATGACATCTTTTTTTTTCTACTGATGAGAGATCTGTATTTGAATATAGACAGTGTTAGAAGCTGAACTCACGTTAATAACAAGATCCAGCTCAGCTAGCAGACTCATTAATAACTGTCTTATTCACACATTAGTCATTATGGAGAGGGGACCTCACTGAGAACTACCATACTCTAAAGCACTGACTGAAGGAACCCTATGCCAGGTCACGTTTTCTCTTAAATACAGACAGCAAAGACTGTAATTAAGAATGATTTAGCTCGGGCCCGGCGCGGTGGCGCAAGTGGTTAAAGGTCCTCGCCTTGCACGCCCGGGATCCCATATGGGCGCCGGTTCTAATCCCGGCAGCCCCGCTTCCCTTCCAGCTCCCTGCCTGTGGCCCGGGAAAGCAGTCGAGGACAGCCCAAAGCTTTGGGAACCTGCACCCGCGTGGGAGACCCAGAAGAGGCTCCTGGCTTCGGACCGGCATAGTATCGGCCCGTTGCGCTCACTTGGGGAGTGAATCATCGGACGGAAGATCTTCCTCTCTGTCTCTCCTCTCTGTATATCCGCCTTTCCAATGAAAAAATAATAAAAATAAATCTTTAAAAAAAAAAATGATTTAGCTCTAATTGACATTACAAGGATAATAAGAAATACATAGAACTAAGAACAATTTTGGTAATAACTATACTATTTGTAAATTTTAGGTCATAATTAGCCATTAACCTTTTTCATTTGCTTGTTCACAAAAACATATGCTCAGCATTGATACATGCCCACTTTATAATAACTCACACATATGTATAAAATCTAGTTAGGGAAGCATTTGGCACAAGGGTTAAGTCACTACTTGGGATGACCGCGTCCCAGACGTCAGTGCCTCCTCCAAGTCCCAGCTGCCCTGCCTCTGACTCGGCCTCCTGCTAATCGCACATGATGGGAGTCTGGTCCCTGCATCCCCGTGGGAGACGTGAACGGAGTTCTAGGCTCCCGACTTCACCCTGATCCAGCTCTGGACACATTCGTAAAGTGAGCCAGCACTTGTAAGATCTCACTCCATCTGTCTCTGCGCTTCAAATGAAGTGAAAATAAATTTTAAAAATTCTAAATCTAAAGCCTAGTCGGTTGAGACAGAAGCTAAGGTAAACACCTGTTTCTCTTCCAATCTGACGCGTTCCCAAATTGATGACAGGTGTTCCAAAGGCTCCGACCTCTCGCACCCCACAGCTGCTATTCCCAATCATGCAACCAGCATGGGCAACCAGCTGTATGAACTGGTCAAACGGGACGTGTTTAACCGCTCGGAAGTTGGGATGATGCTCAATGCCCTTCTTGCGCATCACTCGAACCATCTCTTTGCTCCCTGTGGAAATGAAAAGAACCAGCTGTTAAATTATTTATGAGCAAAACAAGCCTTTTTCAGAAGTAAGTTCCAAAAACTCACATTAGTTATGAGGGAAAGAGTAATTTTAATTGCAGATCTTTGCAGGAAGGATAACTTTCTCCCATCCAAGTACTAACCAGGCCCGGCCCTGCTAAGCTTCCAAGATCAGACAAGATTGGGTACACTCAGGAGGGGGTATGGTCGTAGCTGAAAGATGACTTTCTAAAAAGATCTGGCCAGCTCTCTGCTTCAACTCAACTGCTACCTCAAACATCAGCAGCTGGACTTTCCCAACTAGAACTCAGCAAAGCTGCACTAAAAACCTTTCCCTTAACTACCAAAATTAAGGGGCTAAAGCAGGCCAACAGCCAATATCTTGTCAGCTGGGAGCTCCTAAATGGATTGCACATACACCAGGGGGATCAGAGGGCCTCTGCCCAACTGACCTCACATTTACACCTCCAGCTGGACAAAATACCGACTTATGCACATTAAATTCCAAGAAAACACAGAGAAGCTTTTTTACACCATGACTGTTTTATGTTCGAATACATGACTTCCAAACAAATCTAAAGATGTATGAGGAGGAAAATATTAACTGTCTCTCTACTCTCCCTTCTTGTGTCTCATTCCAAGAGAAGCTGCTAATCTGTTCCCAAGGCAGGAGAGTGGCCACACCACGCCCACCGGCAGCACAAGCACCATGCTTCTGTTCTCTCCATTTCTGACTTTCTACATGTGGCAAAGGAGGTAAATGCACTCCAGGTTTCACTTCTTGAAGCAAGCCTAGGCACTTCTCTCCATATACAGTCTTGCAGGCAAGCCATCATCTACAAACACTACAGCCCCTGGCATACCAGAAAGTAGCATTACTCCAAGATCCAGATATGAACTCAAGGTAAAGGCTCCTCTTTGGCCTTAAGCCTAAGCCACATGCACTAATTCTAAAGAGTCCTACACCAGGGAACTGGGTATTAAGCCAGATAATTAAAGTGATGTGTTGGCAATTACTTCCAATTGGTCCCTACGTGTATTTTATCAAAATACCCATGGGAAGTAGAGCTCAGCGGCAGGCATGATTTAAACATTCCCTCTTCACAGAGTTAACACTGGGTATAATGATTAAGAAGCCATCCAGGACACTCACATCCCATGCTGGAGTGCCGGGGTTCGAGTCCCAGTGACTGCTTCTGATCCAGGTTCCTACCTGGGAGGCAGCAGGGGACAGCTCAGGAAGTTGGGTCCCTGCCACCAACAGGGTAAACCTAGACTGAGTCTCCAGTTTCTGACACATTTGAGACAGTTAACCAATGGATGAAGAGTTCTCTCTCCCCTTCTATCTTTCCTTTTCTCTCTGTCTCTCATACAAATAATAATAAAAAAAAAAAAAAAAAACATTTAAAAGCAAATAAATATTCCTCTTAAAATCCTGAGACCCAGGCCCGGTGCGGTGGCCTAGTGGCTGAAGTCCTTGCCTTGAATGTGCCAGGATCCCATATGGATGCTGGTTCTAATCCCAGCAGCTCCACTTCCCATCCAGCTCCCTGCTTGTGACCTGGGAAAGCAGTTAAGGACAGCCCAAAGCCTTGGGTCCCTGCACCCATGTGGGAGACCTGGAGGAAGTTCCTGGCTCCTGGCTTCAGCACCGGCAGTTGCGATCACTTGGGGAGTGAATCATTGGACGGAAGATCTTCCTCTCTGTCTCTCCTCCTCTCTGTATATCTGACTTTGCAATAAAAATAAATAAATCTTTAAAAAAATCATGAGACCTTTTACTTCCATGTCTCAAAGTCTAAAGTTCATGATAGGAAATGATACAATGCATCATCGATACTGAATATTAAACACAAGCGATAATACAAGTATATTGATTATGTATACAGAATTTAAAGGATTAGAAAGAGTCAATGTGAAGATTTATATATATATATGTGGAGATATGGATATACAACAAAATCTGGGTTGGCTCTTCTGAATTTATTTTCCACATGTCACCCTATTTTGTCTCTCCCTTCAGAGGAGTTCTTAAAGTAAGATGTGACAATATTGACCCTGTGGAGAAAAGGCCCTGTCTCCTTGGCCAAAAAATACCCAAGAGCTTAGCAATGAATGGTGTCAGCTAGGAACAATCAGCATTGAAACATTCCCCAGGCTCAGGCTCTCCCCTGGCCATTTCCATGCGGGCTGTGCACCACTGCTACAGCAACAGCCCCCATACCAAGGCAGGCTTGAGACTTGAGGAAAATAATAATAACAATAATGACTTTCAATGTGTTCAGAAGAGTCACTACTTTCTTTGAGAACTCTTACTTCGGTGCCTAAGGTTTGTGTCTCTTGGCTATGGCAGTTTCTTGGTAGAAATTTGAGAGAAGAAGTTAAAAGTGACACTAAAGTAAATGGGGGAAAGAGACCTTTCGTTATCATTTCTTTCTTATTAATTCTCAACTAGACAACAAAAATATGGCAAACGCTGATCTTATAACAAAATCAGTAGTCCTTTAAAACCCAGACCGCATTCAGGCTGGCCTGGCCTTCGATCCACGCGGGAAGACAGTCCAGGGAGAGGTCACAGAACATGACATTTGGAAAGGGAGGCGGCATCACTTCATTTTCAAGTTCAATTACCTGCATCGATATTTGGAAACAGAACTAAGGTCCGCTTGTTAAATGAGATAAGTGCATCCAATGTTAGTTCAAACATTTTAATGGAATGCTTAATGTCAGTAGTCACAGGGTGCTGCAGTGCAACAATGTAATCTTTAGACTTTACATCATCACCTGTTTAAAGAAAATCAAACCACAGTGCTTCATTAATTCAGAGTCTTGAAAGATAAAATAGGTAAATCCTACAAGCCGACCTAAGGCTTGTGCTTTTGAAAATTCAAGAATAAACACAGTTTGTTACAATCTAAGCATGACATTCAAATCAGGATCAAATGATTAGAGATTCTACCAATAATTTCAATGATTCAGCAAACTTAAAACCTTTAAAAGTATATTTGCTACCATGGATATAAATATAATGTTAAATAGCAGGTACTGGATTCATAGTTTTAAAATCCAAACTATTCCAAGCATTACAATATGTACAATATGTACATTTCTCCCTGATAACTAATTTCTGAACATTTCTAATGAATAATAGGTTCAAATAAGGGCATTTGGAGATTGAAGAGTAGATGACGTGCATAGCAGGTAAAGCCAATACCTGCATTTTGGCATCCCACGTGGGCACCAGTTTCTGTTCTAGCTGCTCCACTTCCCACCCAGCTTCCTGATAATGCCCTGGAAAAAGCCATGGAAGATGGCCCAAGTGCTTGGGTGCCTACTGCCCACATGGGAGAGCTGGCTTCACCCAGTCCAGCCTGACCCATTGCAGCCATCTGCAGAATGAGCCAGAGGATGGAAGATCCCTCTGTCTTGCCCTCTCTCGCTATAACTGGCTCAAATAAATAAATAAATATTTTAAAACAACTATTGGTCTCATATTAGCTTCTAAACTGGGAGAGGGAGAAACATTATCAATTATACAAAATAGGAAAAAAAACCTAAAGTCCTGTTAAGAAACTTGATAAAGCATCAGTTTCAAAGACCAAAAAGAGTAGCCTCTTGTGTCTCTAAAGATGCAATCAACATAAGTGTAGGTCATGTTCTAGCTGTGCATCAGGGCTGTTCAAAAGAAACTATTTCAGGGTCTGTACCACAATGTTGTATGTTAAGCCTCCACCTGCAGTACTGGCATCCCATACGAATGCCAGTTCAAGACCTGGCTGCTCTACTTCTGATCCAGTTCCCTATGAATGCACCTGGTAAAGCAATGAAAGATTGCCAAAGTCCTTGGACCCCTGCACCCACATCAGAAGCCCGGAAGAAGCTCCAGGGCTCTGGGTTCAGAGAGGATGGAAGATCGATCTCTCTGAAAGTCTACCATTCAAATAAAAACAAAGTATTTTTTAAAAGAGGAAAGAAACGGGCCCGGCACGGTGGCGCAAGTGGTTAAGGTCCTCGCCTTGCACGCCCGGGATCCCATATGGGCGCCGGTTCTAATCCCGGCAGCCCCGCTTCCCTTCCAGCTCCCTGCCTGTGGCCCGGGAAAGCAGTCGAGGATGGCCCAAAGCTTTGGGACCCTGCACCCGAGTGGGAGACCTGGAGGAAGTTCCTGGATCCTGGCTTCGGATCGGCATAGTATCGGCTGTTGCGCTCACTTGGGGAGTGAATCATCGGACAGAAGATCTTCCTCTCTGTCTCTTCTCTCTGTATATCTGCCTTTCCAAAGAAAAAAATAATAAAAATAAATCTTTAAAAAAAAAAAGAGGAAAGAAACTACTTCACTGTCTGGCACACAGAAATGCTAGCATGTACTGCACCCTGACCTCAGGGGTCAGTCTGTCCTAAGAAGCACACTACCATAAGGGGCTGGAGTTCACAAGGCCAGTGTGACCGCAAGGAGCACGGCTGTAAACACCGGCGGCTCCCGCCAGGTGGCGCCTTCGCCCCACGTTCTTTATCTCAGTACTGCTCGCCCACACACTATCATGGAAACACTGAGAGGGTGAATCTTTCTGCTCTTTCGGGGTTTTTGGGGTTCGAGTACCGTGGAGCTTCTAAAACCCGTGTCCCGACCTCCCCCCAGAAGCTCATTCCACACACAGCCCGTGGATGGTGAAGCGGGAAGAAAAATTTCAGCAGTTTCCTCACGGGCACTTCCTATTTCTCTATCTTTCACTTGAAGCACCACTAAGCAGCACCCGCAGAGGGGGGTGTGTAGCTCAGCAGCAGCTGAACCGCTGCTCGCGACAGCATTCCGTGTCACAATGCTGACTGCCAAGACTCCAGCTTCCCGCGCACCCTGGCAGGCAGCAGGTGATGGCTAAAGGACATGGGTCCCTGACCCCCAAATGGAGATGTAGACCGAGTGCCTGGCTCCCAGCTTTTGTCTGACTGTTGTACACATTTGGGGAGTGAATTAGTGGATAGGAGATTTTTATCTCTCAAACTTATTAGTTTCTTTTTTTAAACAAGCAATTGTACGATACACAGAAAACAACCAGACAATTCAGAATCCAGCAGGATTGCATCTTCAAACGTAAGCCTCTAGATGGATTTATTTATTTAAAGATTTATTTATTTTAGGGCCCAGCAGCGTGGCCTAGTGGCTAAGGTTCTCGCCTTGAATGCACTGGGATCCCATATGGTCGCTGGTTCTAATCCCGACAGCTCCACTTCCTCTCTGTATCTCCTCTTTTCTGTATATCTGACTTTGTAATAAAAATAAAATAAATCTTAAAAAAAAATTTATTTATTTTAAAGCCACACACAGAGAGGGAGAGACAGAGATCTTCCACCTGCTGGTCCACTTCCCAGACGGCTATAATGGCCAGGGCTGAGCCAGACCCAAGCCAGGAGCCAGGTGCTTCACCTGGGTCTCCCACATGGGGGCAGGGACCCAAGCACTTGGGCCATCTTCCTCTTCTTTTCTCAGGCTACCAGTGTGAGTTACGGATGGGAAGTGAAGCAGCCAAGACACGAACTGGCGCCTATATGGGATGCCAGCATTGTAGGTGTGCTTATGAAAAGATGGTAAAACAGCCAAGACTAGATGTCTTAAAAAACACAGAACAAACAAACAAAAACAAAACCCTAGATGTCTTTACAGGAAGCCAGAGAACAGAGAAAACAAGACAGTGAGGCACGGCTTCCAGTATGTGGCAAGAACACATTTTGGGCAGAGTTTGCACTCGCTTCTCAACCCGCAATTTCTGAGATTACCATTTTATAACTCAGTGATCTCAATTGTTCTCAGGGCTCCTTTCATAACAGTACCATAACTTTGTTTTGTTATAAAGTCTTATATTTACTGTACTGTTTCTTTCCATATGGGGTATTTAACATGTCTTTTTTCATGCTGCTAATATGTTTTGGGGAATCATTACATTCATTATATGCAAATGTTCTGATTACGAAGATGAATGCTCTAAGTGGCCTGCCAATTGTATGTCTCCGTAAGCAGAGTAACAACATGAGAAGTTGCAGGTGAAGGAGAAACAGCAGACTGGCATTGTGATACAACACAATAAGCCAATGCTTGCAATGCTGGTCCCCATACTGGAGTGCCAGTTCGAGTATCAGCTGCTCCATTTTCAATCCAGCTCCCTGCTAATGTGCCTGGGAGAACAGCAAAGGATGGGCTAAGTGCATGGCCACTGACACCCAAGTGGGAAACCCAGAGTTCCAAGCCCTTAGCTGTGGCCTGACCCAAACCTGTTTCGGCCATTTGGAGAGTGAACTAACACATGTATGATCTCTCTCCACCTCTCCCTCTCTCTGTAATTCTTTCAAATAGATACATATTTAAAAAGAACAACTATGGCTTTTGCTTTCTAACAATGCAATAGAAGTTTAGATTTTTAGTAACTATCTATGGCTTAATATTTTCTTTTTTTTTTTTTAAGATTTATTTTTATTATTTTGTTATTGGAAAGGCGGATGTACAGAGAGGAGAGTCAGAGAGGAAGATCTTCCGTCCGATGATTCACTCCCCAAATGAGCGCAACGGGTCGATACTACGCCCATCCAAAGCCAGGAGCCTCTTCTCCAGGTCTCCCACGTGGGTGCAGGTTCCCAAAGCTTTGGGCCGTCCTCGACTGCTTTCCCAGGCCACAGGCAGGGAGCTGGAAGGGAAGCGGGGCTGCCGGGATTAGAACCGGCGCCCATATGGGATCCCGGGCGTGCAAGGCGAGGACCTTTAACCACTTGCGCCACCGCGCCGGGCCCTATGGCTTAATATTTTCAATATTCGTTATCTCATGTGAGTAGCCCAACAATTTCATAGGAAAGGCATTGACAGTAACAATATTTTTCCATTGCACTAAAAGACAAAATGCAGAAAAAATGAAAATATTCAAAACTCCACATCAGAAATACACACAGTAGAGCAGCGAGTGTACATCCTTCCTGGCCTTTCCATTGCTACAGCTGCTATAAAACGGCATCATAACACGCATGTCTATAACATGCTTCTACTCTCCCTTGTAGCCAAGTATTCACTTTCAGTAATATGACTCAAAGCATTCCACTGTATAAATACAGCACAATTTAAAAACATAAAGAAATACACCCAGGAGTCTATTTCACAGAAGAGGTGGATCTCAAAAAGGCAGTCATGCCGTGGGTAAGATCTATGAACTCACATCTTAGCCTGTGCCCGGCGGCGTGGCCTAGAGGCTAAAGTCCTCGCCTTGAACGCACCAGGATTCAATATGGGTGCTGGTCCTAATCCCGGCAGCCCCACTTCCCACCCAGCTCCCTGCTTGTGGCCTGGGAAAGCAGTTGAGGATGGCCCAAAACCTTGGGACCCTGCACCCACATGGGAAACATGGAAAGAAGAAGCTCTTGGCTCCTAGCTTCAGATCGGGGCAGCACCAGCCATTGCGCTCAGTTGGGGAGTGAATCACCAGACAGAAGATATTTCTCTCTGTTTCTCCTCCTCTCTCTATATATCTGATTTTCCAATAAAAATAAATCTTAAAAAAAAATCCTAGCCTTCTGGGTGCAAATGCGATCTTCTATCCACTTGTTTCCAAAGGGACTAAGCACTACTCGGCACCTCCTGACACCCACGGCTGCTGGACTGCACATGGTCTGACGCACGTACCTAACCACATCCGTATGATGCTCATGTAGTCTTTGTTCTTGGCTGAGAGCAGCTTGTCATAGGAAGGGCAGCCTGCCAGGAGGATGCGGTCGTGGTCCTCACACATGGAGATGAGGTGCTGCTCTGCGCTCCGGGTGCAGCACACGTGGTAATGAGCCAGCTTTGTGATGGCGTGCCTGATGGAATCGTCGATAGTCCCACTCACTTCCCCCCCTTCAATATGAAGGATTCGGATGTTCATCAAGGCGGCAGATGTGGCCAGCGCCAGGGCATCAAAGCGGTCACCATGAACGATCATGATGTCCGGCTTCAGACGGTTGAGAACATCTGGGAGCTTCACCAGGGCCAGGCCTACGGACTCCACCATGGCTGCCTCGTCCTCCCCCCTGACGATGGTGTGGAGCCTCGTGTTAATGTCAAAGTCATCCTGTTCAATCATGCGATAGGTGTTTCTGAAGCAGGAAAGAGATAAAGATGTGAGGGCACATGTCACCACATGAACAAAGTAAGTGAACACCTTCATCTCTGAAAGAAGTTAACACTTCACAATTTTACTTGTTCAGGTGAATAAATTTATGTATGAATTGCCCACAAAAATACTGAGCATATATCCAAAGGACATGCATAGTCTGATACATTTTGCTTACATGATTACCACTTTAGCCACCACCTGGACCTACACATAACATCTCCTAAACCTCAGACACCTCACTTCTGTCCTTCCCACAGCACTGGCAGGAAAACAAGTGCAACCGGCTTTTTAGTTAGGAAGAAAGAAACCAAACTGTTATCTTGGTTAAGACTTTTTCCTATTTTTTTTTTTTAGTAATCTTTTTTTCTCAAGATTTTATTTATTTTTATTGGAAAATCAGATATACAAAGAGGAGGAGACAGAGAGGAAGAGCTCCTGTCCAATGATTCATTCCCCAAGTGAGTGCAACAGCCAGAGCTTATCTGATCCAAAGCTAGAAGTGAGGAGCTTCTTTCAGGTCACCCAAGTGGGTCCCAAGGCTTTGGGCCGTTCTCAACTGCTTTCTCAGGCCACAAGCAGGGAGCTGGATGGGAAGCAGGGCGCTGGGATATGAACCAACACCCATATAGGATCTCAGGCTATGTAAGATGAGGACTTTAGCCACAAGGCTGCTGTGTCAGGCCTGTAAAAAATAACCTTAATAAGTCGGGACCCAGAAGAAGCTCCAGGTTCCTGGCTTCGGATTGGCTCAGTTCTAACTGTTGTGGCCACTTGGGGAGTGAATCAACAGACAGAAGATCTTCCTCTCTGTCTCTCCTCCTCTCTGTATTTCTGACTTTGCAATAAAAACAAATAAATTTTTAAAAAATAATAATATTAGGGCCCGGCGCGGTGGCGCAAGTGGTTAAAGGTCCTCGCCTTGCACGCCCGGGATCCCATATGGGCGCCGGTTCTAATCCCGGCAGCCCCGCTTCCCTTCCAGCTCCCTGCCTGTGGCCTGGGAAAGCAAGTCGAGGACAGCCCAAAGCTTTGGGAACCTGCACCCGCGTGGGAGACCCGGAAGAGGCTCCTGGCTTCGGATCGGCATAGTATCGGCCCGTTGCGCTCACTTGGGGAGTGAATCATCGGATGGAAGATCTTCCTCTCTGTCTCTCCTCTCTGTATATCCGCCTTTCCAATGAAAAAATAATAAAAAAAATAAATCTTTAAAAAAAAAAAAAATAATAATAATAATAATATTAAAAAGAAAGAAAAAAAAGAACCCCACCCGAGCTATCAGCACTGCTCCCCAGGGTGTGAATTAGCAGGACTCTGGAATTGGGAGCGGAAGCCAGTAGATAAACCCAGATACTGCAGTGTGCGGGCTGGCCATCCTAACCAATCCTAACCACTATCTTAACTACACGGCTGAATGTCCACCCTCTCCTTTACTTTCAAAAGCTATTTTCACATTACGTGTGTGTGTGTGTGTGTGTGTGTAGGAATGCTGGCATTGCAGGCGGCAGCCTTATCCATTACACCACAATGCTGGTCCCAGGTCTCTTTCTCTGATCTCCCAGTTATCCAATTCCTCTCACCAGAAGCAACCAATAATCTGTGTTAAAAAAAATACTTTCAGGATATATGTTCATTAAGCACCAATCAGATTTTCTGCTTGACAGGCTTGTCCGACGAAGACTGCCTCTCCACCGTAACTGCAGTGGCAGACAGTGTTTTCCAAGAGCCTCCCTCTTCCAGCCCTGCTGCGGGAGATCCTTACACAGGAAAAGAACCCCCTCGGACTCTCTGCCTCCGTTCTTCTTGTACTTCATCCTACTACCCAAATGGATTTTCTTTTTTTTTTTTTTTTTTTTTATTATTTTCTCATTGGAAAGGCGGATATACAGAGAGGAAAGACAGAGAGGAAGATCTTCCGTCCCATGATTCACTCCCCAAGTGAGCGCAACGGGCCGATACTATGCCGATCCGAAGCCAGGAGCCTCTTCCGGGTCTCCCACGCAGGTGCAGGGTCCCAAAGCCTTGGGCCGTCCTCGACTGCTTTCCCGGGCCACAGGCAGGGAGCTGGAAGGGAAGCGGGGCTGCCGGGATTAGAACCGGCGCCCATATGGGATCCCGGGCATGCTAGGCGAGGACCTTAACCACTTGCGCCACCGCGCCGGGCCCCCAAATGGATTTTCTTAGCGAGCCAGAAGCATGTCATTCTTTGAAAAAAAAAAAATTGTATAAATTCTTGAAGTATCCATCAATTTCTCCTTAATTTACCAAGCATTTCCTTACCTCAAATTGCCAAATAGGTTTTCTGGAGGTAGACTTTTATCTATTTGTTTTTCTGTTCTTGTCTTTTTGCTAAAGAATACTCTAAGAAGGACCATTTTACTTTAATACAAGATTCCTTCACAAATAATACTGCATTTTTTTACTATTTCTGGTGACTGCACTAATATTTTCATGCCACAAAAGTGCACAAAATGTCACTTTGTTATGTACGGCAAAGTGAACGGCCATTCCTGCATTATATATTCTGCTCCCTCAAATAAATTACCCTTCATTTTTCAAAGGGAGCCTCCAATCAGTAATAACCTTAATGTCATTAGACTAAACCTCAATATTTATTGCCTTCTACTAAAATGGTAATTCTAACAAGATAACAGAACATTCTACTTTACCTTGCAGATCAATTAGGTTTTTAAATTCCTATTTCACATTATTTTATATGCTGAAGGCCTACAAACCAATTTTAAAGAATTACTAGAGGGCCCAGAGTGATGGCTCATTGGCTCTTCACCCCCTCGCAAGCACCAGGATCCAATAAGGATGCTGGTTTGTGCCTCAGCTGCTCCACTTCCCGTCCAGACATCTGTTTGTGGTCTGGGAAAGCAGAGGAGGATGGTCTAAGGCCTTGGGATCCTGCACACGTGGAAGACCCAGAAGAAGCTCCTGGCCCCTGGCTTCGGATCAGCTCAGCTTCAGCCACTGCGGCTATTTGGGGGGTAAACCAGTGGATGGAAGACCTTTCTCTCTGTCCCTCCTTCTCTCTGTAAATTTGACCTGCCTTTCTAATAAAAATTTAAGAAAAAGAATTACTACAAAAGATTACATGGAATCACATTATTATAATTACATGATCTATAATATACATTGACTGGGAGGTAGTCTTTCTGCAGAACATCCTAACAGGGGAGCAACATTATTTACAGCTGTCACGTATGGAGCACCTGCTGGGCAGCAGCACTGGGCGTGTACCTGATATCAGCGTCTCCACTGCTCACGGTGACTCATCATGCAGTCTCACTGGATTCTGTCAATGCAAGACACCGAGGCTCCGAGACGCCAAGTGGCTTCTCAAAGGCCAAGTGAAAACAGTGGCAGAACTGGAGTGTGGAGCTGGGTTTACATAGACACAGAATCCCAGCTTGCTTCAGTTCAACATTGCAATGAAGCATAAGAAAATGGTTTCTTGGGGATATACAGTAGCTGTGAAATGGAGACTAACATCCAGATGTGAGGATGCAGTGTAGTATGCATCTCTGCTTCCAGACAAAGATGGACTTACAATGAAACTGTTTATTATATCTTGACAATAGGATTCTGGACTCTCTGCCATTGTCCATGCCCGCAATGATGGACATATGACTGAGTATGAAGAACTACATGTTAGTAATGATATAGAGGAACTAGGTGGGGGGAGGGAATTGGAGAGGGGATAAGGGAATATGGAAATATATCATAAAATGATAATAATAAGCAGTGATCCATCCCTTTAAAAAAAAAAAAAAAGAAAGAAAATGCTTTCTTCCTACTTACCCATAGTCATCTATCAGGTGAGAGCCAAGCACCACCACGTCAAGTTCAAAGAACTCAGGTTCCGTCTTGATGCCAAACATGATCGGGGCAAGCTTAGAATAATCAGCGCGGTTGCAAGTAGCAACACAAACCCGAAGCTTTCGGTTATTGCCATTCTTCTCCATGACTTTTTTGGTTTGCTTTGAGAGATTTTTAAAATAGAGTTCCTAAAGTTACAAAAATAAAAATCATATGTAATCAGAATAATAACTGTTAGATAAGAAAACAGAACATTTCACTTGGAAGTCTTTAAGTATCCTTCACTGTGAGTCTTAACCTTTCTCTCCACTTGCAATCCTCTGGGACACTCCCATCACATCCAGCAGATTACGTATCTCCACCCTTCTCTCACACACTAGAATGCAACTGAGGAAGGGCACGGGGTCAGGTGGTTAGCGAAGTCACTGCCAGGGATGCTGCCATCCCATGTCCCACTGCCTAATTCGAGTCCAGCTTCCTTTGGTGCACAACCCAGATGACAGCAGGTGACAGTAGAAATAGTCAAGACCAGGCCCACTGTGGTAGCCCAGCAGTTAAAGTCCTTGACTTGAACATGCCAGGATCTCATCAGGGTGCCAGTTCTAATCCCGGTAGCCCCACTTCCCATTCAGCTCCCTGCTTGTGTCCTGGAATAGCAGTAGAAAACGGCCCAAAGCCTTGGGACCCTGTACCCGCATGGGAGACCCAGAAGAGCTCCTAGCTCCTGGCTTCAAATCGGCTCAGCTCTGGCCATTGTGATCACTGGGAAAGTGAATCATCAGACAAAAGCTCTTCCTCTCTATCTCTCCTTCTCTCTATATACATATATCTGATTTCGCAATAAAAACAAATGTTTTTTTAAAAACTAGTCAGGACCCTGCCACCCATGTGGGAAACCCAAACTGAGTTCCCTGCTGCTGGTATTAGCGTGGTCCAGCCCGGACTGTTGTGGCATTTGGGAAATGAGCCAGCAGATGAACAACCCCTCTCCATTTGTCTTTTTCTCTGTGTGTCTCTTTGCTTTCCAAACAAAATGGAAAAAAAAATTAAGGAAAGATAGAATCAGTCATCACTGAAAATACAAATTTCAGCTTTTACTACTAGTTAAAAACTTTTTGTACTTGCCACACCTCACAACGAAGCCCAACCATTCATATTAGGCAACTGCCAAACTTTGGCTGAGAACCACCAATCTACTTCAACTCTCCTACTTTACAGAAAGGGAAATACAGGTTTAATAGGAGCACCCACTTCTCCAAGATTCAAGAGCTCATCTTGGTCCACTCCCCAAGTGCCCACAACATCAGAGGGAGCAACAGGCTTGGACCAAGAGCCCAGAACCCAGACAGGGTCTCCCAAGTGGGTGGCAGCCACCACCTGCTGCTTCCCAGATGTATATTAGCAGGAAGCTGGAATGAGGAGAGGAGATGGGCATGAAAGCCAGGTTCTCCTATACAGGATGTAATGTCTTAACCGTTATGCCAAACACCTGCCCTCAAGATTGTCTTAATGAGAACCTAATCTATTCATCTTAACACTTATGCCTCCACAGCCCACATGCCTAAACACTGGAAGTGGAAAAGGAAGATAATTAAGATAAAAACCCTACCTTCAAGGTCTCATTAGCTCTTACACAACTTGGCTGTCACCATGCAAATGCACAGCAGTGAGTACCGTTGTGTGTCTCACAGCACTTAGTATCTTTTCAAAACCTGGTCCTTCATGACATACTCAGTTATTCACTTGCATGCATCCAAACGCCCCAACACCCCATCTTTCTATGCCTCATTCGGTACCTCCTAAGCTCTGCCAATGTGTCTATCTCCTGAACATCTGCCAAAAGTATCCTTTCCTCTTCACCTTTCAGGACTTCTCACTTCAACTCGCTTTTCAGATCTTTACTACTAAGAACAGCTTCCTGTTTCGAATCTTGTCCTATCACCTACAAACTTTTTTTAAAAAAAAAGATTTATTTATTTATTGGAAAGTCAGATATACATCCGTCCGATGTTTCACTCCCCAAGTGGCCACAACTGCCAAAGCTATGCTGATCCGAAGCCCGGAACAAGGAACCTCTTCCAGGTCTCCCACATGGGTGCAGACTCCCAAAGCTTCAGGCTGTCCTCGACTCCTTTCCCAGGCCACAAGCAGGGAGCTGGATGGGAAGTGGAGCTGCCGGGATTAGAACCAGATATGGGATCCTGGCGTGTTCAAGGTGAGGACTTCAGCCACTAGGCCACGCCGCCGGGCCCAGTACTTTGATTTTTGTAAATAAGAATTTGGAGCACCTTGGGCAAAGATGTCAACATACACAGTGTCGCTCCTTAGCTAAGTTTGGTAAAGGATGAAATCCACATCCACATCGTAGCTCCTTTGTCTCATAGAATTCTGTAAACACATAGATTACCATTCCTTAAGGCCACTCTGAACTTGCTTCCCCCCCCACCATTTCCATGAAAGCTAATCCCGCCCACCGGATTAACCCTAACCCTAACATAATGGAATGAGCCTTCTACCAGGAGAGCAGGTCTCAGAACACATCAGCGCAGTCCCATCCAAAAAATGGCTGCCCAAATGTTCTTGTAACACAAGCCTTCCTCTGGGCACAGCTGAGCTGAATAAATCATCAATGATATTTCATTTGCTGAGTGATGCAATCACTCAGAAAGCTCAAAGTTGGTTGATTTGGATTTATTTTTCCAAAGAACAGCAAACTTCCTGTCTGGCAATACATAAATGCTTAATGTTTAGCAGGTTACACAAGTTATTCTACCTGAATTGAGACGAAAACAACGTCGCTGAAGGCTAAAGCTTTGTTTTTGAAGAAAGAAATCTAAAAAAAAAATCACAAAATGCCTTTTAAAAAAGACTATGCTGTTTTCAGGGAACTATGACAATCATGTGATTTTTTTAAAGATTTGTTTTATTTTCATTACATAGTCAGAGGTACAGAGAGGAGGAGAGACAGAGAGGAAGATCTTCCGTCCGATGATTCACTCCCCAAGTGACTGCAATGGCCAGTGCTGTGCCAATCGGAAGCCAGGATCCCAGAGCTCTTCCCATGTGGGTGCTGGTTTCCCACGCGGGTGCAGGGTTCCAAGGTCCTGGGCCGTCCTACTGCTATTCCAGGCCACAAGCAGGGAGCTGGATGGGAAGTGGAGCTGCCGGGGCTAGAACTGGTGCCCATATGGGATCCTGGCGCATTCAAGGCGAAGACTTTAGCTGCTAGGCCACAGCACCAGGCCCAATCATGTGAATTTTTAAAAGATCTATTTATATTTATCTGAAAAAGAGAGTAACAGAGTGGCAGATGCCAGGAGCCAGGAACTTCTTCCGGGTCTCCCTCCTGGGTGCAGGGAGCCAGGCACTGTAACCATCCTTCAAGGCTTTCCAGTAGGAAGGTGGATTGGAAGTGGAGCAGCTGGGGCTTAAACTGGCACCCATGTGGGATGCCCACACCGCAGGCAGTGGTTTTACACAGTATACCACAGCACCAATCCCCTGTGAATTTTTTTTTTCTGAACATTCATTTATTTACTTAAAAGGCAGAGGGAGAGAGAGAGTGAGTGAGTGAATGATCTATAGGCTGGTTCACTCCCCAAATGGCTGCAACAGGCAGAGCTGGGCAAGGCTAAAGGCAGGAGCCTCAGCCAGATCACTTACCTGAGACCCAAGCACTTGGGCCATTTCTGCTGCTTTCCCAGGTGCACCAGCACGGAGCTAAACTGGAAGTGAACCTGAACTTAAAACTGTGTTCATAAGGGATGTCAGGGTCATCAGTGGCATTTTTTTATAAAGATTTATTTATTTTTATTGGAAAGTCAAATATACAGGTAGGAGAAGAGACAGAAAGGAAGATCTTCCGTCCGTTAAGTCACTCTCCAAGTGACTGCAATGGCCAGAGCTGAGCCGATCCAAAGCCAGAAGTCAGGGGCTCTTCCGGGTCTCCCATGTAAGTGCAGGGTCCCAAGGCTTTGGGCTGTCAACTGCTTTCCCAGGCCACAAGCAGGGGTTGAATGGGAAGCAGGGCGCCCAGGTATGCAAGGTGAGGACTTTAGCAGCTAGGTCACCTTGCCAGGCCCCCATCAGTGGCATTTTAATCTGCTGTGTCACAACACTGGCCTCATGTAAAAATACTTTCAAGAACTTCTTTATTTGAAAGGCAGAGTTTCAGGAAGTAAGGAGGAGAGAGCAAAGGAGGAGGGAGGGTTGGAGGCAGGGCAGAGAAAGGGAGGGAAGAAGGTGAGAGAAGGAAGAAGGGAAAGAGAATGTTGAATAAGAATCTTCCATTTGCTTCACTCTCCAAACGACCATAATAGCCAGGGCTGCTGGACCAGGCTCCAACTAGGAGCCAGGAACTCCAGCTGGGTCTTCCACACAGGTGTAAGTGGCCCCAATCCCTGGGCCATCTTCTGCAGTTTTCCCAGGAGTGCTACCAGGAAGGTGGATCAGAAATGAAACAGCCTAGATGCAAAAGAATGTCACAGGTTTACCCCCACCGCACTGCAACACCGGTTCCTTGTAAACTGCCTGATTAAAGGGAAGATATTTTTCAAAAGAATTCAAAGTAATCAACTTACTTTTTGATAAGGCAGTACACTCACACGGTTTAAAACTGTAAAGTATGTAACAAAAAGTCTTCCTATCGTACCATTCTTCTTCCTGGATGTTAACAGTTACTAGTTTCTTATTTATCCTTCCATATAGATAAACTATCATTATATAAACACACACGTTTGCTTATAGAAACACATAACGTATAGTATGCAAGTGACACACTGGCATACTTGGCTTTTCAAGTGTTTTCAATTAGGTTTCTAAACTAAATGGCAAATTGGAAAAGATGACAGACGTTGGAAATAATAAACCTAAAAGTGCTAAGTTTTGAAAACTGTTGGCCATCAGCTTTTCAGAAACATGAAGCGCTGTTAGCCCTGAATGTCAAAGCAAACACCATCACAAGCACCTGCTGAGAACGCTGCAGAAAACTGAAAGACATTTGAAGTTGAAAAAGACATTTCTTCTTTTTAAAGATTTATTTTTATTGCAAAGTCAGATATACAGAGAGGAGGAGAGACAGAGAGGAAGATCTTTTTTTGACAATCTTTACATAGTTAATTGGGGTAAAAAAGTTCAAGGGCTATAGGAAAGTAGGTAAGACTATTATTTCCATATTGTTTCCTTCATGTTTAAAGGGGAGTATTAAGGAAGAAGGCCCACTCAATTTCCCACCCTCCCCAGGTCCCGCATGTAGGGTATGCTCCGAGGGTCTTGTTCAAGTGGTTTTGATAGTTCAGCAGTTATAAATTGCTGCCAATCTCGCCACTCCAAGCACCATGAGGTCGTTGAAGAATCCACTGATTGACACAGTCCATCATAGGGTCTCCGTTTGCCCTGTATTTCGCTGCCAACATATAGCTGAGGTGGTTGATTGACCTGTTCTGTCTTCTCTTTTCTTGGTTAGGGTTCTGAGTCCAGCATTTCGATTGGGGAAATCTCCAAAGAAACTTTGTCTGAGGTGTTCTCGGACCAGATTTTTATATGTACTAGCAGGTACAGG